GATTTTATTTACCTAGATCACTTACAGTATAAGTTTGAAAGTTGTGAGCATTTATTTTGAATTTCATTTTGCCTTCTCGTACTTTCTAATTCATTCTATAATATAAGAAATACGAAGAAATACCAGCATTATATATATATATCAATAAATCCATTGAAGGTGTCAACACCAGGACCTCTCACCACACAACAAACTATTTATACAAATATTTTAGAAAATATCTCGTTTTTCATATATTTAAAGTTGTAGGAAAATTTATCTAAAGTTCTTAGGTTCCCGACCAGGGCAGGTCGTGACTTTTAAATTCAAAATACGGATTTTTGATGATAAAGCGGAGAATTATTAGACCCTGGATAAAGTAGAGACAATATGGATTTTAACAATGATTCATTTTGTGTACTGTGCCGTTTTGCTGTCTATAGTCTGTATGTTAACTGATCATACTTGCTTAATAAAACTCGGTCTGGTAATTTAAATAAACCAGAGTTTACAGTGAGATGAGAAGATGACATGAACCATCTACTCATCCATGGATAACATAAGATAGGATGACATGAACCGTGGTATTGATTGATCCATGAATAAAATTTAAAAAAATGACATGAATCATATATATTTATTCAACTTTGAATAAAAATTATAAAAGCATAATATAAAGGACTAGCTGATGTGCGGGGCGTTGCCCATGAAATAGAAAATTCGAATTTTAAATAAAAAAAATTAGATTTTTGAAAGAAAAAAATTTCTAATTTTCTTTCAGTCAATTTGGTTCAGTTGTTTGGCCAGCTATAACTAGCATATATATATATATAACAAATATACAGACATGTACATATATATGAGCGAAGAAAATTATTACATAGATTATTAAAACCCTGAATGACCTGAAATCCGTCTACCGAGACCAAGAGCTGAACATGATCCAACAATAGAAATGAAAACGGTTTCTTCAAACCTAAATAATTTTGAATTTAAATATTTTAAATTTAACATATTAAAAATTAATTGTTAAACCACACTATATTGTTCAAACTTCAATATGTATTATCTAAACATCAATAAATCATTTTTTTAATCATTCTTTGAACCTCAATCTATTATTTTAACAATATTAAGGTATTGAAAGCTAGATAAATAATTTAAACCTTTGATGAACCTAGATATAGTGCTTAAACCTAAATAGATTAATTCACACCTAGATATAATGTTAAAAAAATTATTTCAACCTCAATGCATCACATAATACTAAACATATTATTTAAACTCAATGCATCATATAATACTAAACATATTATTTAAACTCAATGCATCATATAATACTAAACATATTATTTAAACTCAATGCATCATATAATACTAAACATATTGTTTAAACTCAATGCATTATATAATACTAAACATATTATTTAAACTCAATGCATCATATAATACTAAACATATTATTTAAACTCAATGCATCATATAATACTAAACATATTATTTAAACTCAATGCATTATATAATACTAAACATATTATTTAAAACTAAATACTTGACAAAAACTAAATTATATTTGTTAACTTTAATTTAAAGGAACTGAGTTCTTGTTTTCAATTCTTATATCTTTGCAACCCATTGTCATAGATCTTTGATATTTTAAAATATGATTTCTGTTAGATCAATTTATCAATGTTTGAAATATCAAAGCTTAACATCATCAGGTTGCAAAGATGTAGGATTAGAACATTTGTAGGATTGTGACAAAAACTCAGTTCATTTATTGTAAAATCTTGAAAATATTGTTTTAGTCTAAACAAATTGCTTAGTTCTAAAATGACATATTGTTTAAACTTTTATTTTTTGTTTAAGCCTAAATATATCTAAATATAAACATGGATAAATAAGTCTGTTTATTTAAAATCCATATACCAAAACCTAAATGTAGTTTTATCCTGGAAATATAACTAAAATATTGTTGTAATAAAAGTTTAAGTTTTGAAAATAGTTTTTAAATAAGTAAAGAATAGACCTGAACATGATGAATGATCATCCTGTTACCAAGTTTAGATTCCTCCCTTCAACTAGGATATTTTATCATTTTTAGAACCTGAAAATTCAAACGTTCATCATAACTCAAATTTATGTGCTCTCAAAGTGAACTCTCTTACTTCGTGATTTTTCATTTAGATTATTTGAAAATCTAAATCCAGGTGTATACTTGAAATCCAGGTGTATACTTGAAGTCCAGGTGTATACTTGAAATCTAGGTGTATACTTGAAATCTAGGTGTATACTTGAAATCCAGGTGTATACTTGAAGTCCAGGTGTATACTTGAAGTCCAGGTGTATACTTGAAATCTAGGTGTATACTTGAAATCTAGGTGTATACTTAAAATCCAGGTGTATACTTGAAGTCCAGGTGTATACTTGAAATCCAGGTGTATACTTGCAGGTGTAAACTTGAAGTCCAGGTGTATACTTTAAATCCATGTGTATACTTTAAATCCAGGTGTATACTTGAAGTCCAGGTGTATACTTGAAGTCCAGGTGTATACTTGAAATCTAGGTGTATACTTGAAATCTAGGTGTATACTTGAAATCCAGGTGTATACTTGAAATCCAGGTGTATACTTGAAATCCAGGTGTATACTTGAAATCCAGGTGTATACTTGAAGTCCAGGTGTATACTTGAATACTTTGGTTCAACACATTCTAGATTATTTTAATTTGTCTTCTGAATTATATTCAGGAATAGAATTAATGATACAAACTTTGCTTACAAGTTTTCAACTTTATCACAAATGTATACGCGGAAAGGTAAAATTGTGCTGTACATATGCACTGTACAGTAAGCGTTGATACAAACCATATTGAGGCCGTTCTTTAACGTACAAGGGCCGTCCAAATGGCATACTTTGAGAGGACGCACACAGTCGGAGACGTCCGCTGGACAACCATTGTAGTGTTAGAAAGGAACGGCCTCTGTACTCCCATGTATTGAAGAGGGTTATAAGAATTTTGAGACGACTATACAGATATTTTTCTGTATTTTATCTTTAAATTATAGTTCGACATGGCTTTGAAATTCAACATTAAAGTCTCATTCATTGTGGATAACCCTGCATGTATGTGACAAAAACTCAGTTCCTTTAATCTGCAGAAGCACAATGCAATTATACAGACACTGCTTATCATCGAAATGTTAGGAAGGAAATATGATTAAAAATATTAATAAAGTTAGAGTTGTGGACAATGGCCATGTCGTCGTAAAGTTTATTTTAATATATTTATATGGTATACACCCTTTTATTATTTTAAATTTAGATTTTAATTTAGTGTTACATCCAATAGATATTTGCTATGAAGCTGGGTTAATTGTTGGATAAATTAGAACACCTCGTCATCAAGTTTAGATAAAGGAATTGAGTTTTTGCCAAAAACTTTGATTTTCTGTTCCCTATGTCGTAGACATTAGATATTTCAAACTATGAATGCTTTAAGCTCAAATAAGCTTAGTTTGAAATATTAAATTTTTTACACCATCAGGTTGCAAAAATACAGGTATTAGAAAATTTGAGTTTGTGGCAAAGACTCAATTCATTTAATTTAATTGCCATGTACTCCCACTTAAAATAATACAATGTTTTTGCATTATTTCTCTACATATAAACTTTGCATGTTTGTTAGTTTATTAAAAAACGTCAAGATTGCTGATTGCTGAACTGGTCAGGCCCAAGTTTAGTTCGGAACCCAGGGAAGGTTTACAGATAATCATAATAGAAAATATCAAAATAAATAAAATTGACATGAATAAATCTCTATTGTTTCTTAATGTACGACGAGAAAATGCTCAAAGGTAAAGCAACAATAAGAAGTTGAGATAGAAAGCCTGAAAGCCTAGAAATATCTCTGAGATACTTTCATACAATTTATAAATATTCCTACAAAAAGCGGAGAGAAAATTCTATTGAAATGTCGCAAAATTGCAAAATTAGGATTCTCAGATTCTTTTAATGTTTTCTTGCACAAAAATGAAGACCAGTAATAGGACCTGGAACTTCAAGAACAGAGAAAAGAGATTTTGAAAGGGTTGGAGGAACATTAGGAACTACATGGCTACTGAATGAGATTTAAGGAATAGAGCAATGAAATAGACAGAATGAGAAGGCGACCGTACTTGTACGACTTTATGACCTCGTAGCTCCTCTTATTTTTATTTCACGCACAATTATGAGAAAACAATGTCCACAGATGAATAAGGTTACCAGAATAAACAGGTTACCAGATGAATAAGGTTACCAGATAAATAAGGTTACCAGATAAATAAGGTTACAAGATGAATAAGGTAACCTGATGAATAATGTTACCAGATGAAAAAGGTAATTAGATGAACAAGGTAACCAGATTAATAAGTTTACCAGATGAATAAGGTTACCAGATGAATTAGGTTACCAGATGAATAAAGTTACCAGATGAATAAGGTTACCAGATAAATAGAGTTACCAGGTTAGTTTACCAGATTATAAAGGTTTTTAGATTAGTAAGGTTACCAGATTATTAAGGTTACTAGATTAGTAAGGTTACCAGATTAGTAAGGTTACCAGATTATTAAGTTTACTAGATTAGTAAGGTTACCAGATTAGTAAGGTTACCAGATTAGTAAGTTTACCAGATTAGTAAGGTTACCAGATTAGTAAGGTTACCAGATTAATAAAGTAATCAGAATAAAATAATGTATTAACCTCTATAGTTGCTTCACTACAGTTGTTTATTTAGAGTTTTTTGTTACAAAATGTAGAGATAATAATAAGTGTGGATATTTGTAAGAAAAGCTCATATTGTTTTTATCAGGATTTTCAAGTTTTTAAACTTATCTCCGCTCCTTTGGGACCTTTTAATAAAATAAATTCAGTTTTAAAGTGGAAATGTTGCTTTGTCCTTTAAAACTTAAAATAAAATGGTAAGGCATGTGCGACTGGTGTCTAGTAAGTTGGGATATTACATTTTTGAAAGATTTTAAATTTTTTTTTTACTTTGGTTGGTTTTGTCCTTATAGCTAGGCTTTTTAGTTTTTAAATCTAGGTTTTCAATCTGTTTTAAAAATAAATATATAATTTCCAGACAAAACATTTGTCAATTTTGACCGAGTATAATCCTTCCCTGGAGAAATGAGAGCGCCATAACAAAGGGTTTGGTCAGCTCAGCAGTTTTCTCGTTCATTGGAGACAAATAAACAAACTAATTTTATAAATAGTTTTCTCGTTTATTGGAGACAAATAAACAAACTAATTTTATAAATAGTTTTCTCGTTTATTGCAGACAAATAAACAAACTAATTTATAAATAGTTTTTTTCTCATTGTTCTCTACACCTATACGGAATATTATTTTATATAATGTGTATAGATTGTATTCATCTCCAGGGTATATGTAATCTATACATAGTTTTGTATATCTATATATAAATTTAGCTTGTCTGTCTGTTTGCTTGTTTGTTTGTTTGTGACCAATAAACGTCAAAATGGCTGAACCGATCGGGCTCAAATTTTGTGTGGGATTTCGCGTGACCCCAGGGAAGTTTTTTTTTATAAAAAAATTTTAAATTTTAAAATCCGCGAATTTTTTTTTATGAAATCCGCGAACAAAATTCAATTTCCAATAAATTTTCAAAATCCACAAATTTTTATTCATGATATCTGCGAGCTTTGTTTTAATGTACACAAAGAGAACATGTTGACAAATAAAATAGAAGATTGACGCGAAGCGCAACTGTTCTCGAACTGCGCGGAGTTCACAGGGCTCGCAATTTTACGCAAGTAAAATCCACTTGCGCGCGTTGGAAGCCCTAGAAATATGTTTACAGTTACTGGGAACCATGAATATAAAGGAACAGATAATATAAATTCCGTAGAGCCGTGCAGTTGTGGTTAACCCTGTATAATAAATATTATTAAGGGCAATGGATATTGCGCGTAACTGTCCAATCCAATTCACCTTTATGGCAGGCAAAATCTGATCTGAAAACGGAAGCAAGTTTTGTGCGTAATATCTTGAAAAATAACTTCCAAATACCCAGTGAATGTTGGATTGAGGGGGAAATCCGCGAAGCTAAAAATCTGTCTTTTCCGAGAAAACAATGTTCTGGAAGATTAGCTCAATATCTCTGAAAAACTAGTTCTTCTTATCAAATCTTATAATTTAATTATAATGGTTGTCTGGACCCTGTGGTTGAGTATTGTATACTGTTATGTTTTTGATCCCGCATTTTTTCTTCTTCAGGATGTTTATTATTTAATTTACTTTAAGGCTATTTGGTCTGTTAATATGCATTCTAAACTCTATTTCAAAATTCTTCCTGTTTCCTACTGAAGGTTCTGAAGTTCCAATTCTCTAGGTTCAGTTTACATGCATAGGAAGATACGATGTATTGTCGGTAAAGGACGGAGAAATACTGAACCCATGCCTCTCTCTCACTCCAGTAGAGGATAGATCTGAGGAGAACCAGGCGGAGGAGAGGAGTTGTAGAACCATACTCTCAACTATCATTCTTTTTTCCAGTATCTCATAGATCTACAAGAGCTATGAAAATATAAAAAAAACTGCCTGACTTTGAAGTGTCAACAGGCTTTTGCATTTTGGTCTCGTCTACCCATTATTTGTTGACAGAATTAAACTTATTCTTAGTTTTCTTTTCCCGGCCAAACAATTTGAGAGAAAACTTATAAATTGGCAAAAAGTTTAAATGATCGATCTTGAAACTTTATTATTTATTTTGGCAGAACATTTAGTTTCTGATACAATCCAGCTCACGTTTCAACCCTTCTATTTTATTATATTTGACAAATACAATCCAGCTCACGGTTCAACCCTTCTATTTTATTATATTTGACAAATACAATCCAGCTCACGGTTCAACCCTTCTATTTTATTATATTTGACAAATACAATCCAGCTCACGGTTCAACCCTTCTATTTTATTATATTTGACAAATACAATCCAGCTCACGGTTCAACCCTTCTATTTTATTATATTTGACAAATAAAAACTAAATCTTAATAGAAATCGCTTTATCAATACTTCTTGAGACCTTGAGTAAATATTGGTTTCTAAATGAAAAAAGAAATAGTTTAAAATATATCCAATGTAGGTTTCGTGAGATCTAATAATCCCCGGTATCCTGATCTAATTATCTATGTTTCCTGGCCTAATCATCCCTATATCCAGACCTAATCATCCCTGTATCCTGACATAATTATCCCTGTATCCTGACATAATTATCCCTATATCCAGACCTAATCCTCCCTGTATCCTGACATATTTATCCCTGTATCCTGGCCTAATAATCCCTATATCCAGACCTAATCATCCCCTGTATCCTGACCTAATCATCCCTGTATCTTGACCTAATTATCTATGTTTCCTGGCCTAATCATCCCTATATCCAGACCTAATCATCCCTGTATCCTGACATAATTATCCCTGTATCCTGACATAATTATCCCTATATCCAGACCTAATCCTCCCTGTATCCTGACATATTTATCCCTGTATCCTGGCCTAATAATCCCTATATCCAGACCTAATCATCCCCTGTATCCTGACCTAATCATCCCTGTATCTTGACCTAATTATCCATGTATCCTGGCCTAATCATCCCTATATCCAGACCTAATCATCCCTGTATCCTGATCCTGACATAATTATCCCTGTATCCTGACTTAATTATCCCTATATCCAGACCTAATCCTCCCTGTATCCTGACATATTTATCCCTGTATCCTGGCCTAATAATCCCTATATCCAGACCTTATCATCCCCTGTATCCTGACCTAATCATCCCTGTATCCTGACATAATTATCCTTGATCCTGGCCTAATCATACCTGTATCCTGACCTAATCATCCCTGTATCCTGACCTAATCATCCCTGTATCCTGACATAATTATACCTGTATCCTGACCTAATCTTCCCTGTATCCTGACATAATTATCCCTGTATCCTGACCTAATCTTCCTTGTATCCTGACCTAGTCATCCCCTGTATCCTGACCTAATCATCCCTGTATCTTGATTTAATCTTCCCTGTATCCTGACCTAATAATCCCTGTATCCTGACCTAATCATCCCTGTATCCTGACCTGATCATTCATGTATCCTGACCTAATAATCCCCTGTATCCTGAATAAACATCCCTCTATCCTGACATTGTTCTCCCTTGTATCCTGGCCTCGTTCTCCCTTGTATCCTTACTTTATTCTCCTTACCATTAAATTAATTTTTGCCATTTTAGCGCTAGTTAGTTTTGAAAATGTGTTTTTTTGTAGGTAGGATGATTAGTTTCATTCCCAAGAGATAGAGTCCTAACATTCTATATCGGTAATAAAAAAGTGTGAAGTGTTTTGTTTATGTTTTAACACCCTTTAATATCCTTGTGTTCCAAACTCTGGGAAAACGGAGAAAGATCGCAAACTTAATCAAGGCGTAATTGGTTCAGCCGCTTCAACGTTTATTGACAAAATTTTAATGTATATTCTATACATATTGTATGCTTACAATGTAATATATGGCTGAAGTTAGTATTTTGTGGTAAACTATGAAGCAATGATATACAAGAAAACAGAATTTTTTAAGCAAAGCATAGAAACTGTTTCAATTATAAAAGAAGATTGCAATATTTTTTGGTATTAAGTTAAATATCGCTTAGGTAAATTTCATAAATTTAAAAAAACTTTNCTACGACGCTGTAAGTTGTACTTTCAGTTTTCTAGTGAGTAATCAGTATTCAGCCTGATAACAGATATTTACTTTATAAGAACGTTTGAAAGTTAAATAACTCTATAAATTCAAATAATTAAATATGATAGATCCAGAATATTTAATTTCCCCTGATCCCTGCCTAGATGAGTTTATTCTACCAAACACAACTCAGTTTATGCAAGCAATAGGTATATATTAAATAGGAATAGGAATACATGAAGAGTATAATATAAAAATATAAATAGGAAATAGGAAAAGGAATACATAGAAAGTATAATATAAAAATATAAGCAGGGAAAAATAAGGAATACATAAAAGGTATAATATAAAAATATAAAATAAAAATATAAATATGGAAAAATAAGTAATACATAAAAGTATAATATATAAATATAAATATGGAAAAATAAGTAATACATAAAAGTATAATATCAAATACTTGGCTTTCACGGTACTTCGCGCCCATCTTCTTATTCAATTGTCAACATTTTCTCTTTGTTATTGTAAAACAATAACAAAAAAAGTTCGCGGATTTATAAAAAAATTTCATGGATTTTCAATATTTAATGAAAATCAAATTTTGCTGGAGGCTTATTTTTAAAATTTTATCATTCATAAACATTCCTTGGGGTCATGTGAGGTCCCACACAAAATTGGGCCCGATCGGTTCAACCGTTGAAGTTTATTGAATACAAACACACAGACAAACATCTCTATAGATATAAAGTTGTAATCTCTGTTTGTTTGTCTGGGTGTCTGTCTGTTTGTTTGTCCGATCATAACTCAGGAACCACTGGACCGATTTGCCTGAAACTTTTATTCGAGAACTCGGGAGACCCACGGGAATGTTCTGAGCTTGGTTTTGAGAGTCTAAGCTGAGTGGGTCGACTTCAATAACGAAAATTTAACTTCCCGGTAAATACGTTGAAGTGCAGGTATGAACGGCGGGAGAAACTTTTAGTAATCTTGGCTGCGCTGGGTTCCCAATCTAGTATATAGATGAAATAGGAAAAAATAAGGATTACATAATAATTAAGTTTAATATGAAAATAAAAAATTGGAGACAAAATACTTTACAGTGGCACAGTAATAAAAACAAAGGATTTTAAATATAATTAGATATTGATGTGATTTGAACCCTACCTAACCTAGGTCCCTGGAGTTATGTTCTCTATACAACTGGAGCTGTGAATGTAGTAGTTCTTAGTATCCAGTATATATTCCTAGCAAGACAATTCTTTAATACTATAGAATCAAACAGGTAGGATCCATTAAAATCTATTTAGTATCCAGTATACCTTGTATCCATATTGTAGACTAGTATCCAGTATACCCTGTATCCATATATTGTAGACTAGTATCCAGTATACCTTGTATCCATATTCTAGACTAGTATCCAGTATACCCTGTATCTATATTCTAGACTAGTATCCAGAATACCTTGTATACATATTCTAGACTATATACAGTATACCCTGTATCCATATTCTAGACTGGTATACAGTATATCCTGTTTCCATATTCTAACAAGTGCAAAGTTATGCATATCGGTCGTTCAAACCCATTAAACATATACTACATTTTGTCATCAAGAAAAAGACATTGGACTTATTATTCACAAAACACTGAAACTATCCACACAGTGTGCAAGTGCTGCATTAAATGCTAACAATAAATACTTGGTCAAATCTCTAGAAATTTTCACTTCAGGGGTAAGAAGTTTTTCCTCAACCTTTATAAACAACATGTTCGATACCTCCTTGAATTTAGCACTCCCGTATTGTCTCCTTGGTCTGAATCTGATAAAGAAACCTTGGAAAAAATTCAAAAACGAGCAGTTATCATGGTTTCTGGCTTAACTAGTGCAACCTATGAAGATAAGCTGAAAGAGTTAAATCCCCAGTCTTTAGAGGATCTGCGTGTTACGTTTGACATGATCCAGGTGTTCAAAATCATGAACTGCCATGACACAGGGGTCCATATAATTTCCAAAATAGCCGGTTTTCTCAATCCCAAAACTATTTTTGCCCCCAACTATAAAAAAATGCCCCCAATTAAAAAAATGCCCCCAATTATAAAAAAATGCCCAAAATTTTTTAAAAATGCCTCCAATTTAAAAAAAATGTCCCCAATTTAAAAAAAATGCCACCAATTAAAAATTAAAAAAATATTTCAAAATTCCACTAACACATTTGCCCCCAACTACCCCCAATTGTAAAAAATCCCCCCAATTAAAAAAAATGTTATCAAATTGCACTAACACTTTTCCCCCCAAAAATTTAAAAATTGCCCCCAAAATTTTTCCACTGGCCCAAAATTTTACTTTGAGCGCCCCTAATATTTATAAAATTGCCCCCAGAAAATATAAAGTTGCCCCCATTAACAAATGCTTCCAAAACTAAATGCCTCCAAACATAAAAAATTTCCCCTTTTCCACTCACATTTGCCCCTAAATTTCTTTTTTTTTTTATTATCATTTTAAAACAGTTTGCCCCATAATTTGCCCCCATTTCTTTCAAATTTCTCAATCCCAAATGGGATTGAGAAAGGAATTATATGGATCCCTGCCATGACAGGGTAAAACCAGAATCCAGGTTCAGAACAATAGAAAATAGTGATGGGTTAAGGTTTACTAGAAACTTGTCTTACCCTAAAAACATTCTTACCAACAGAGTGAACAGTGATATAAGGAAATACTTTTTAAGTCAGCGAGTGAATTCTTCCTTCTAGAATTAAAGATGTGAACTCTGTTGTCAGTTTTAAACAAAGATATGATAAATATTTCTTTCAAACTTAACCAAAAATTGTGTAATTTGTAAGTTTTTATTATTATAACGACAGTAACTGTTTTTATATGCTCATGTATATGTGATGTAATATGGCAAAAAAGAAGAAAAAGAACAACTCCATGTTGAAAAATAAAAAATAAAAAAATGTCAAAGAATGAAAAAAGAGAACCCATCTTTTATATTATTCATATGTACATGAATAAATCTGCCTTATTTTTACTATAAGAAGAATCACAAAAAATATTTTAATGCAGATTTATTATGTTAACCCTAAAACTCGACAAATATCCAGTATACATTGTATCCATATTGTAGACTGGTATCAACTCTATGGGTATCCAGTATACCCTATATCCATATTGTAGACTGGTATCAACTCTATGGGTATCCTCAATATATCTTGTATCCATATTGTAGACTGGTATCAACTCTATGGGTATCCTCAATATATCTTGTAATATCTGTTTTCAACATGGTTGGAATAGTTCTCCCCCAAGCGAATGATTTTCTATGGTTTGCATACAAGGTAAAGGAAAAGGGACTGTCCGCTTAATTTTAACTCTTCCGCTGTTATGCATTAAAAGCGTTATATAATCCTTTAAACCTTTATGTGAGTAACAAGGAAGATATCCTCAGTTTTATAAGAATAAATCCTTCGATATTCTTTGTTTTTCTTTATTATTCCTATTTTTTCACATTTTTAGAAAACCCACAATTGAAAATCAGCAATTTTTAGATCGTAAAAACGACATTATTCCATCATATTTGCGAGGTTGTTTATGCAACTTTTTAGATAAAGGATCCATTGAAATTACATTGACAGTCCATTTAGTCAATGGTTATTGGCTATGAAACATGGATGTCCATTGTCCAATGTCCTTTGTCTACACTCTACTCAATTTATAAGCTTGGTGTTTTTTTTCTTTTTCTCTTTGTATTATTCATGTTAGTCAGGCCCGAGAGAAATATCTAGAAAATTCTTTCCAAAATTAAATACTTTTAAACTATCCAGGGAATTTTTAATCACTCTTAGTCTTATTAAACTCAAATTTTCTAATCCTTTGCAGTCTGATGTCGTGGAACATATTTATTTCTGATTTTAGGATTAAAAAATTTGAGTTTGAGGCGAGTATTCAGCTAGTGTAAAATTAGAAATTGAGTCTTTGCCACAAACTCTAATTTTCAAACCCTAAATCTTTGCTACCCAATGTCGTAAATCCAGGGGACATTAGTTACAAAACTAACACCTGGCCCATTTCTAACACTGAGTGTTAGAAATGGGCACAAATTGAAAGACTGGGTTTTTGGGATCCCGGCCCTATCCAGAGTAAAAGTTGACAATAAAACAAAAACCAACATTTTATTAAACATGACGAGGACAACACTTCCCAATTTAAAACCTTTTTAAAATAAAAGTTATAAGGAGTTCTTGTTATATTAAAGCTCTTGACCGTTTTCAAGACAATGTTTTCCATTTTCGAACCTGAATTTGAAACATTGTCGCGCTTTCGAGACAAAACCCACTTTCCCGTTTTTCAGTATAATCCACAATTCAAAACAAAACCCAATTTCATAACTTACAAAATAAATCACTGAAAACAAAAATTATCTTATGAAGACTAAATTAACTTATGAATTATTTCTAGAATCTAAGTTTCCACATTTTATTTGTTAAATCAGAGAATATCGATGATTTATTTTCAAGCATTTTAAACAAACGGTTTCCCCCATTTATAGTTAAATCTATAATTTAAGAACAAATTATATTAAGTTTTTGATTTTTCAATGCTTTAATGATTTTTAAATTACAACAGAACAGTTTGTTTTTATTTTCTATTTTGCTTATATTTTACCTCGTTTTGTTACGAAATTGCGTAAATACTTGAATATTGACATTGATATGAATTCCGGTAATTGTCTCAAAACCAGGATATGTTCCGAAAACGCGACATGAGCTGAAATCCGGTAATTGTTTCAAAATAGGGATATGTTCGAAAATGAAATCAAGAATCATCTAAAACTAATTCTCACACCTTATTATTAGTTTAAAATTGACATTCATTGTTTCAATATATAGTTTTAGCCATTTTTGATAAATATATGGTGTAATTTTGTTCTACTCGTCTTGGATTTAAAGATATATACTCTTGAAAAAGATTACTTTGCAGATTTGGCCCATTTCTTACACTCAGTGTTAGAAATGGGCCAAGTGTTAGTTTTGGAACTAATATCCCCTGAAATCATGAATTCTGTTATCATCTACAGAAATTTTTATTTAACTTTTGATATATGTATTTTTTAAAGATTTTTGTTGGTATATCTATGGGTCATTTTGTTGATTTAACCTTGACCTGGTACGGAGGAGAAACAGCAATGCTGGAACATGTTGGAGAGGAGACAAGCTTAAACTTCAGGTTCATTCCCTCATTTCATCCTTACTCAGTTTATTTTTAAAACTGCTTCACCCTTGCTGAGATTTTTCATTACAAATATATCTCGCTTATCTACCGGGTGTCTCACATGACATAACTGCATGTATGATTCACAAAATGTCCCTAGTCCTGTTAATTCCAAGATTAGTGTTTATTTTTGTGCTTTCCTAATTGCCGGAAATTTTGAGAATTTCGTTCAGATTTCAATTATTTATCAAATGAAACCATACTTGTCTAATTCAAATATTTCATATCTTCGGTAATTCTAAAAGGCAAAAAATAGCAGACAAAAGTTTGAAAATGCCAGTAGTAGGGGTAATTGTATTTATTAATATAGTCATTTTAATTCTAAAATTTCGTTGACGAATAATTGCCGCAATTATTTTCTATTCTGCAAATTTCATGTTTATGGAACAGCTTGTATATATATTCTAGGAAGGCATCCTGCTCTCATATATCCTTGTCTATACCTTTACTGGAAATATTCTAGGAAACCATCCTGCTTCTTTATCCTTGTCTAATGTCTATAACTATACTGGATATATTCTAGGAATCCATCCGGCTGCTATATATCCTTGCCCATACCTATACTAGATATATTCTAGGAAACCACCCTGCTGCTATATCCTTGTCCATACCTATACTAGATATATTCTAGGAAACCACCCTGCTGCTATATCCTTGCCCATACCTATACTAGATATATTCTAGGAAACCACCCTGCTGCTATATCCTTGTCTATACCTATACTGGATATATTCTAGGAAACCACCATGCTGCTATATCCTTTTCTATACCTATACTGGATATATTCTAGGAAACCACCCTGCTGCTATGTCCTTGTCCATACCTATACTAGATATATTCTAGGAACCCAACCTGCTGCTATATTCTTGTCTATACCTATACTAGATATATTCTAGGAAACCACCCTGCTGCTATATCCTTGTCTATACCTATACTAGATATATTCTAGGAACCCACCCTGCTGCTATATTCTTGTCTATACCTATACTAGATATATTCTAGGAAACCACCCTGCTGCTATATTCTTGTCTATACCTATACTAGATATATTCTAGGAAACCACCCTGTTGTTGTTGTTTAATTCTTCCAACCAACGCAAGATTAACAAAAAACAAAATAAGGTAAAATTGTGTTTAAGTTTTTCTGCCAAAAAATGGATATTCACAAAATTTCGGCATAAAAACAAATTATTAAAATCTTGCAATGTGCGTTTCAATAATAGCAAATTGTAACCAGACTAACTATTTCAACTGTTAACTATTGAATTGAGAGAGCTTGCAAAACTTCTGAAATATAATGTTAACAAATGCGCGATTAACGCAAATTAAATCTTGTATGATAATGTAATGATTATTGCAAGATACACTATCTTTTAGGACAAACTACTGCATGCAGGGATATCCATAAATAATTTGACTTTCTGTGTGGTTTAGTTCATCAGATTCCATACACAACATCTTCTATACCAAGGTTTCTAAATGGTTCAGATTATCATGGGATTCCATACACAGAATCTTCTTTGCCTCGGTTTCTGCGTGGTTCATTTTATCAGATTCCATTCATAGAATCTTCTTTATCTAGGTTTCTACGTGGTTCATTTTATCAGATTTCATTCATAGAATCTTCTTTATCTAGGTTTCTACGTGGTTCCGTTCATGAGATTCCATACTCAGAATCTTCTTAGCCTTGGTTTCTGCGTGGTTCAGGTTAAAAGATGCCATGCACAGAATCTTCTTTGTCCAAGTTTCTACATGGTTTCGTTAATGAGATTCCATACACAGAATCCTCTTTTCTAGGTTTCTACATGGTTCCGTTTATCAGATTCTATACACAGAATCTTCTTTGTTTAGGTTTCTACGTGGGTCCGTTTATCAGATTCCATACACAGAATCTTTAAGTCTCCTTATACTGGTTAGCTTAGAGGTAAATATTAGAATATTAGAATATTTATTTAGAATATGATAAAATTTTGATAGAATATGGAACATTTTGTTAGAATATGAGAACATTTTGTGAGAATATGTATTATGTATTTATAAACTAATTTTAAACAACTCCCTAAAAAAAACTTCCTGAGATATCGCTAACATTCTACCAAAATGTTCGTAAGTATCAGCTAGGAGGTCGAAATTAAAGTAATATATAAGTGTTTGGATGTTGTTAGAAAGCAAAAAGTTTAATTTGTAACTTATTAAATCCCTTATTAAATGAAATGGGTCTGTTTACATTGCACAATTGCTGTATCTCATTTTTAGAGGACTATTTAAAATAACAACTTTTGTCTAAATGACGTCGTCCCATTTCTGGTTCTCACTGGGAGGAAACGAGAAACAAAAAAGTCAAAATTAATGATGAATCGATAGCAGGAAAGTGGGGAGAAAACAAAATTTTACGGTAATTACCAATTGAGGAGCGCGCTTGCCGCAAAATACATTTGGGTGGTGGGGATTACTCGTTGAGGACATCTGGGCTCCCTCTCTCGGCGAGTAAGAAGATTGAGTTAATGTCTAGAGAAAATTGTTTTCTTCATAAATCTGCATAATTATATGTATTTATAGATGGCTGGTTATGTTACTGAAGGATCTTTAACCCTAGCTTCTCCTGATATTTATATAACAGTTCTAATCTCATTATCATCCTTCTGTGGAATCTGGGGCCTCTTTATGTTTTTTAATATAACTCAACAGTAAGTTCATGTAGAGATATTTTTCGCTTATATAATGAAAGTTCATCTTGCAGAGACATTATAGACACATCTTTACGGTCTCTTACCCTTTTCATAAAATAAACTCTAGCAGACATAATAATATTATGGCTTTTGAAATTAGGTATTACAATGCTAATTCATAACAAAGACGATATCTAATTCGTCACTGAATTCCCATGTTTTTGGGACATCCTGTATGCCTTAATTGAATCTTAAAGGGACTGTAAGCTAATTTCAAATTACCCTCTATACAAAGATTCTAATGCTTCTAATGCTATCTAATCAATAACATGGAAGAAATTGTCGTTTTTCTAGACTTAAAAGTGTTTAACTCTGATAACTTTAATTGAAAATAACCAGTTTTCAAAATTATAAACATGGATATCTAATTCATGTTCTTGATCGGACAAAGCTTTTATGGGTATCGTTGGGAATCCGACATTTCCATCTTTGCACAGAGAGTATCTTGAAATTACGTTAACAGTCTCTTTAATAAGAAGATCAGAGGCCGAATTTAAAGAATTTGAGCCGTGGCTCAAATGTGGTTTGTTCCACTTAAAATTGTATTAAATTTTTCAAAATTTAAGCCGCGGCGCTCAATTAAAACCGGTTTTTGGGGGTTTTTAGGCGCGGCTTAAATTCATTAAATTCGGACACAGGTTCATTATCTACATCTACATCTATAAACAAAGGAACTGATTATTTGATTAAAACTTTGACAATTTGATCCAGCAGTATTCCGAGTTTGAATTATCAAAGGTCTAAGGACTTCAACATTAGGTTGCAAAGAAATAAGGATTAGAAAAATAAATATGTTAGGCATCGTAATTAGTCGTTTTCAGTTTAATAAACAAATTATTTTCAGGTTTAATCTACTAAGTAATTTCAATTATGCGAAGAAGTCTGGGTTGATGAAGATTACTATTATCATCATAAATTTCCAGGTTACGCATTTTCTCTATAAATAACCCGATTACCTCTGGAGATCAATTACTCAAGAAATTGTATCCGCAGCACTCGACTCTTCTTTATAACGATTTTGATTTCCTGGATTAAATGTCAGTGAGTCATCACTTTCAAACCCATTACGTGTAGATTTTTTTTTTGTTGGCAGGGTTACCCACAAAGGATTAAACTTACTGAGACGATCATCCGGTTTTATCAATTTGTTTATCCTGTAACATTCTTGGTTCCTTGTTTTTTCGTGCCAAATAATTCTAATTGCCATCAAAAGACTTTATTTTTAAGGTGGAATGAACAATCCCTGCAAACATTTAGTCTCCGACAAATATGAGTCCAGAATCATTTACTTAACATCTTTGCCATCAGCACAAACAGTCGGTTAAATAGTTTCCTGGGATTTTATCCATCATTTTGGTATATTTAATGAGTTACATTGGTCAACATTTAGATCTTATTCTTTTTGAGTCCCCTTGCCTTTTTTACTTTTTGTTGGAATATGCATTTTAAATTTTGAATTCAAAAATTTTTCCTCTGGATTTTGTCTGATAGATCATTCCTGACTGAGTTTATTCCCTTACACATACGCGGGACATATCTAGCTCTAGTTAATCTCAGTTTTGCTTATCTATAATCCCAGTAGTGATTATAATGTGTATCAAAAATCTGTGGTGCCATGGAACATCGTTCTAATATGTTGGGGCCGAACTAAAATCATTTCCTGAAAGAAATTAAGCGTTATTCAGTCGGAACAAGAAAAACACAGCTTTTAGCTTAAGTGCATTTCACTTGCACATTTCGAATTCTAGCGTTGTGACTCCCTTGCGTTACAACTTAAAATAAGTTAAGGCAGAAAATGTAATCGTTAACTCCCTTTATTTAAATCTTCCTTGCAGCTCGAGGTTGAGCTGTCGGTTGCTGGAGTAAAATTCATTTAAATTTGCAGAATTCTTCTAGTGGTTCCGACCATCAATCATCCCTGCTCACCCAATCTGATTTCAGATAGAGTTCTTTCCAAAGAGAATAGAATATATATTAGAGTGGAATTTAGACAATCCCTCGGTATGAATTTTGTCAGTCCCTTTCAGTCTGAAAGGGAGTTCAAAGTGTACAATCATGTAAATGTTCACAAATTATATGCAGTAGAGTACATTAATACAGTATGTTCCCTAGACTATCCATTTCAATTTCGAATTTTTTAAAGCTGTTAGATAAACTTTATAAAATCAATTATAGGTGAATATTAAACATCATTTGATTTAAAGTTACAACGGAAAATCATCGTTTGTAAAGTGAAAGGCAAAGAGTCTATGTTGGACAATATTTTGATTCTTTCTAAAATATTGGGTTTCCCTCTTTGATTACCTGCAGACTACAATTATAGGAATATGTTTTTTAATGAAAAAAAAAATATATTAGATTGATTTCTATCCACGTGTGCATGACCGGCTATCAGAGAATTGATTTAGAGAAAATCAAATAATTTTCAAGAAAACTTTTCTATAAAATCATGTTCCAGGGCCCAAAAGGTTATATAGTACAAATATGTGAAGTACACCTGCAGTATGGAAACAGTACAAAAAATGGCTGTTTTACACTTTTTTCTAGTAAATTCCACTCTAATATATATTCTATTCTCTTTGACTATTTCATATTAGTTTTTATTTCCATTCTTTACCCCCCAAGACTTTTTAACATAAATTTGATTGTTGATGTTTGAAACTGGTTAAATATTTCTGAGTGTGATTGTTGATGTTTGCAACTGTTTTAATAATTCAGAGTATGATTATTGATGTTTGTAACCGGTTTGGACTAATAACGTGTATTCCTGGTGCCTTATCTCCTTCAGGAGTAGCAAATCTTATTAAGGTAACATGAACTGAACCTAACCTAATCCGAAATAGTCCATATTTTTAAATTTATTAGTTTATTTCAATTAAATTTTTCAATATTTTCAAATATTTAAATGAGATCAGATGTAAATGTTTCTTGTTCTTCATTTTCTTCTTATTTATACATCTTTCAATCATAATTCGGCTAATTTTGAAAATAAAAAGAAAAGATTTTGTTTGGATGTCCTTGAAGTTCGCCGCCACTTTACAAGAAAGAACTATTTTTAAAGGATCTTTTTTTTCTGAACCCTGTATTTAATTGAACTAGCTGAGGATCTTGCTTTCTTTTTTCTGAACTCTACTCTTGAGTTGCATCTGACTTCTAAACTTTTGAATGTTTGCAAGTGTGGTGCTATCTTACATGCAACATTTAAACACACTATTCTAGGATTTTTACGTAGGGTAGAATAATAAGAAGGGAGTGGGGCGTCTCCCTTCCCTTCCCTAATGTTGTTGGAAAATATGACAGTGTACAGCTTGACATTAGAGATTCCCTTCCATTTATTTCCTTTTCCTTTTCCTGTTCAATTTTCTTTTTTCTTCATGTTTATTGTTTTTACACTTTAAGGCCTCTCCAAATAGTTCTTATGACATTGAGTTGTGTAGCAGGTATGAGAGAGATTAGGAGGTTTGTAGCAGGAAGGGTATAGGGGATTGCTCTCTGTGTTCCTTCTGTTATACTCTTTCCGAGTTAAGGGGCATTTTAAGAAAAACTCATAATTGCACTGATTATACAAAATGGGGAGTTGTAAGCCCTTGAGCCCCATCGAGAAAAATCATCCACAGCAGTCCAGTCCTCACAGCCGGCTGAGTAAAAAACCAGTATTGTTATGCATGGATTAAACTCCTTCTTTCATTTACACCAAGCTGAAGATGAAGTTTTGTTCTATTCTATGTACATTCCTAGCTTCCCTGTTACAAGGCACTAAAACCGGGACCGCTTTAAGAGAAGTCCGCTCTCTTCTGAGGGCAGTTGGCAACTGGAAATATTCCATATAAAAGTAAGGTTTCAAGAGAAGAGCTATTTATATATTATTGTTTTCAATCTGAAAATTAATATCATACAGAAATCCTATCTGAAGGAAGAAGTAACCTAATTGTCCCAGATCTGTTTCTTGTTAAATTTTATTAAGGATACCGTTGGTATTGTTTTCTTTGGGTTTCGACAATATTTTTAAAGAGGTATTGGTAAACTTTAATCATTTTCTTTTTAGGCTGTATGTGTGCTTATAGAATCCTTTCTGTTGGGAACGATGGCGTTTTTTGTTTACAAAGATGAAGGAACGTATATGTAAAATAGACAAAATTTCTAAAACAGAATTACCAGCGCTCTTTTTACTTTTGTTTATGGTTTCTTACGCGACCTAATGCCGTTAGAGTTTGATAGTTTTAGGCTAACATTTAATTCTCATTCTGGGCAACCCTGTAGTCTCCGTCAAAATATTTGGTACAGAGCGTCCCATATCGTATTAGATTATCTCCAATCTTTAACACCAAAATAAGCCCTTAACACTCGAAAAACTTGTCATTTTCCGCAAGAAAATTCTTGTATAAGCCTTATGTTATTTTTCAAAATGATTCATTCTAATGAAATTTTCTAATTAGTTCCGAAAATCGTAATTTAGACCCATTCTCGGTCTAATATGATGTGGGACACCCTGTATATTAGATTAAAAGGCAGTCTTAAATATTGCATAGGTTACTAAATACCAAAGTTAGTGCCAAAAAAGTCGGAATTACGTAAATTCTTTAACATGTACTGCTGTAGTAATTATCTAAAATAAGAGGCCAAAATTCATAAATACAAAAATAACCAGCAAGTTATCCTGTAACTTAAACAATAACTTTTCACTGTGACAAAAATGTTTTAAATGTTTAAAGAACTTATGTCTTAAAGACTTCAGAAACAACTCAGTTTTATTTCTTAGATCAATGCACAATGTTCAATGCATGGCTTCTGTACTACCTGTATTGTATTTAGTGATGGGACACAACTATAGGTTTGTTTTTAAAATCTTGTAAAAGAACTTACAACATTTTAAAACTGTATCGTGTAGAAGTTTGCTAGGCTTAAACTTAGGAATAATTTTATTCTAAGAGAAAATATAAGGTTTATCTTCTCTTGGGTAAAAATTTTTTAGCTCAGTGGAAGAAAAACAAATGTTTGGGAAAAAAATTTAAAACTTAGAAATCTTAAACGAACCAAAAACAAACCAAGTTATTTCCTATCACCAATTAGTTGATGTATTAACTTGAATTTAATCTTCATTTTATTATTAAACATTAAACTTGATAATAAATAAATATTTTAAACCCAGAAGTTAAAAAAAATTTATTAAATCACACCAATTATAACATACTTAATACTTATCACATCTAAAATAAAGGTTTGAACATGAGAAAATTACGAATTTCGAATGTAATGTTCAAAGTAATGAAGTTTTAGAGAGCATAAGATATCCACTCGTTTAACACATTGGAGTAAAAATAAACTTTGTAGAAAAAAATAAATATATCCAAAAGCTTTGTAAAAACTTGAAAATAATATCGAATAAATTACGAACATAAAAGCTCTTTAATTTTTGCCACAGAAAACACAAAATTTTATTAAAAAAACAAGCGAAAATCAAAATAATTCTAATAAATGGATAAAAAATGCGGTGAATATGTTACAACAAAATCAAAAACAGAATATTGAATGTCAATAAGTATGAAAATAAAACAAGTGCAAGACTACTAAACAAAAATCCTGATGAATAACGGAAAAATTGATTAGATTTGTGCGAGAAAAACAATTCATAATTAAGTGCATCTTCACCAGAGTTCCTTTTCATGATATTTTGAAATAAAAATTTTAAAACAATTAAATGTAAAGCGTTCAGCAAGATGACGTTCGGAATAAGACTTAAAATATTCAAGATGGTTTCCTTCAAACCGTTCAATAAAACTCAAGGAGATACATAACAAAAGACAGGAAGAATCAGGTTTGTTTACACTTTACTTGACGTATTAGGACATCTCAGGAAAGAGTTTTATTGAAAACAAACAACTAGTAAACAAATATATTCTCAGGCTCGACCCTTCTGCTTGCTCAGGAGTACCAAAGCCTTGTTTACAATCTTTGTTGTTTGATGTAATGAAAATAATTTCTAATCCTTTCCCCAGTGCTTAGGATCCGGATTCATTAGATCCGCAAGATTTTGGCTTCCTGGATCCGGATCCGGATCCACGGATCCGAATCCAAGGGGTAAAATATCAACCAAAAACTGCAAAAAACACTTGTTTACTCCTAAAACCCAAATCTGACCTTATGAAAGAAGAGCGATTATAAAAATTTCCCCATTTCTGAATGGTTCATCAAGTTAAAGGATAAAAATAAGCGAAAAAATATAACAAAATATTTTGAAAATTACTTTTTGTTAAAAAAATTCAGTAAATCTTAAAGAAATGACCTGGATCCGGATCCATTTTTTTCCAAGGCAGATCCAGGATCCGGATGATCCGCATCCGCATCCAAATTAAATGGATCCTAAGCAATGCCTTTCCCCCTCTTCTTAGTTATGTCTGTTCTCTGTTCTCCTGAACTAATTCATCCCCCCATAAGGTTTTAACAAGATGAAAAACAATTTGCTGAAAAATAAATTGTCATGTACAAAATTGATAGGAGGGGGGGGGGGGGGCCAAAAAATGTGAAATCTACTAAATGCCGTCTTCTTTTCCAATTATAAAACTATCAAGATTTATTCAAGACATAGACATCGGCAACTGTCATAACATTGCTTTTGATGTCTAACGTTGTGTTGAAATGTTATAACCCTAGGGGGGATGAACTGTTAAAGGGAGGTTGAACTGATGAACGAAACCGGATTCATGTTCCCGAATCTGTATCAGATTAAAAAAACGTATTTGACTTAGTTTTAATGAATTTGCGATCTGACAAAAATAAAAAATCGTTATGATCTAAACGAATCAGATTTTTTTTATATACTTTACCGCCTTTTAATCAGCATTACCGACCTATGATTCCCCCAGCAGAGGGAGGTTAAGTTACTTAACGTCTCTTGGGACAGTTATTTAAACCACCCGCTCTGCATAGTTTTCAGGAAAAAAATCGCGCATTTTCATCTCAAAAGCCGATAAAATAGTTTACGACTATTCTTTTGGAAATTTTTTTTTCACTTAACCACGGGTTTCCTTGACCAATTTTGTTTACAAAATCGGTCTTAGGAATCCCTGGTAATGTAAAATTCCCTTAATCTCCCTGTAAAGTAGTTGTAAATAATTAATATTCATTCTTAATAGATGTTATTTTTGTAATTTAAAGATCCTAGGAGTATAAATTACCCCCTCCCCCCCCCCCATCCGAAAGTTCGAAAATAATTTCTTGACAAATTACTTGAGTGAGGTAATGCCCTTACTATAAAATGTATAAAAACAACATTGGTTAAAATCAGAGGTCATTGGTCAAAATTTAAATTTTCTGCATAAAATAAATGCCGCACAACTAAACATCTTAATATCACAAGAAGTGGTAAATATGTGTATTCAATATACATAGTAAAAAATAACATATTTTGTTTGTTATTTTAGTCAAATTTAAAGATTACAGAAAAAATGGTCGAATTTTTTATATGAACCCAAGAAATATTTTACATTGCCATTTCTTCTTCCATCTTGACCTACCCTTAGGATTCCAGATTACTGGCCGGTAGGTTTGGTAGAAGAAGATTTATATACTCAACCTTGTAGATACTCTTGTTCATCCTGTCATTGTTACTCTTCAAGGAGAAGAAAATTCTCACTTCGTTCAATACCATGGGATAGGTTCCATCCCGGAGCAAATAGAAGCTTTCTCCTTTCTTGTTCACGATCTCTTCAATATTAGGATCCTCGTTGATCTCCTTGAGAAAATCGTCCCGTTTAAAGGTTGATTTGCCGGTAGTCCCGGAAAGGTAGGGGAACAGGAAGGTTAGGAAGAGAAATATCTGCTCCAGGGATATCGGAGGATACAGGGAGATCATGGAGAGACTGATAAGCATCTTGAGACTGTACGGGGGACGAATATTTTTAGCAGGAATATTTTCTTTTTGCTGAACAAACCTCTGAACTAGGGTATCCAAGAACTCCTGGTACATCATCGATTCTTGAACCAACACTCTGAAACAATAAACTAGTGCTAAGGATCCATTTAATTTTGATGCGGATCCGGGTCATGGAAAATCCGGATCCAGGTTATTTATTTACAATTTTACTGATTTTTTATAACAAAGCAGAATTTGTAAATGTCTTGTTTTTTTTTTCGCTTATTTTTAAGCTAACACTTGATGAACCATTCAGAAATCAGGAAATATTTATAATCTTTCTTTTTTAATAGTTTAAATTCGGGTTTTGTAAGTAAAATATTTTTGCATTTCTGGTTGATATTTTGCCCCTTGGATCCGCATATTTTTGCGGATCCGGATCCAGGAAGCCAAAATCTTGCGGATCCAATGGATCCTGATCCTAAGCACTGCAATAAACATCATCCACGTACATGGGATTTTGGGCGAGGCTTGTTGGGAAATAGAAAACATTGACAATTTTACAAGAAGACTGAATTGAAATAATTTACTGTTTACATTCTTTACAAATTTAATATGGTTTGTTTGAACATAAAATCAATTAAGCAAACACTAGAAAATTGTAATTTAATCAAACATAAAAGTTGACTTAAATTTTAGGCGGAGAAAGCAGTTTAATTTTGTAAAAGAATACCTTACATTAATAGATACAGAAAATCTGCTTAATCGTAAATTGTAAACTTTTTTATGTTCAAAGAAATAAAAGTTGCAATTGGAGTCATATTTTAAGCTTGAATTATTACAAACAATAGTTTATACTGAAATCATCATTAATATTTAAGTTAATAATTAACAAATTTCCAAATAAAATATCAGAATTAACCACTTTCAATCATTTTTACTAGGATAACTATAAATACAAAGATGAAAAGTTGCAACTATATTCAAGACTGGGTCGACCATAATATGTCGTAACGACTAGATTTTTTTTTTCTTTTCTTATCTCATTTGCTTTTACTTTTTTTATACCTGGACATGTATATACTTTCAATTTTCAAACTATAAACCAGACTTCTTTTTTAGCTTTAGTTTTAATAAAGTAATTTCAAAATATTCTACGTTTTTATTTGCATGAGAGCTAGCAACCTTCGGATCATTATATACAGTGAGAACCAGAAAACTGTGTAATAGGAAGACGACTTTTAGAATCAAGTTATGATTTTAATAATAAAATGAACATGAGACGCAATAATTAAGCGGTACTGTAGAAAATTATATTATTTGCTTTGTAACAACATTAAATATACATAAACATTTCTCCAATGTCGTCTTCCTATTCCACAGTGTTCTGGTTCGCACTGCATCATTTACGTTTGTTTCGTTAGAAAATTACCTGTACTTGCTGATATATGTTTTTATTCTCCCTGAGAGCTGTTCAATCAAACTATTCTTTATCCTGAAGTTTTCCTTCCCTGTCTCCTCCTAGACAATTTATGGTTGTTTTTAATCAGGATTTAAATATCATTGATTAAAAAAACTAACCTTGGAGTTTATATCGTAAGCTTTCCTAACCATATCCTTGCACTCCTCTATGTTCCTGTTAAAGTATGGAAAGTGGAGGGTTAAGAACGCAACTATACTGGAGAAGGAAGCTCCACTGTGGTTCTCCGGGTCCAGGTTCCGAACTGCCAAGGTGATTAAAACATCAGAGGGTAGAGGTGGTTTATTGTAAACCTTCTCCCATGCCGGGTTACAATTAGAGAAAAGCTGCTCCGGTTTAACCGTCTCCGTCTCGGCGTATTTGGTATTTGGTTTCTCAACGGGTTTCTTTGAAGTCGATGCGTCTTTATCCACACTGATTTTTTCAGGAATTGATTTAGACGCAGTTACAGTCGAAATATTCGGATCGTTGATAGGTTTCCTTGTACTCAGATTCTTACCGGAAGAAGTTACTCCACTCAACCTCTCTTCCAAGGAGAACTTTCTAGATTCTCGAAGCCTTGCCATAGCCTCGTCTAGCTCCTCCTTCACCTCCGGAGACAAGACAGAGTTAGGAAGCGGAGACTGATCTTGATCCTGTTTAATATTCTCAGCTTGAATCCATGCAGATGAAAATTCGTTCTTCTTCTCAAAGAACATGACGTTGTATCTAGTTGGATTGACTGTGCTAATCTTCTCATCGATCCAGTAGAACTCATCGCATCCAGAACTATGATCAATTATTCCTGGCCACCAGGGATATCCCTTCAGTTTGGCCCAGACTAGGGTTCCTCGGGGGTATTTAATCTTGACCTGAGATCCTGAAGTAAACTGGCTTCCGCCCTTTCCACAAACACGGTTCATCACATCTTTATTCATTGAGCAAACCCAGTAATCGGGAACCTCGCTGGGATCCTTGAAATCTGGAACCTGTCTCCATGTCTCACAGGTTTTGTTACAACATTGAACATATAAAGCAGTATCAGTTCCTCCACGAACATTTCTAATATTTCTCGGAGTTTCCTGATTATCCAAGGTTCTCCGGACACCAACCTCCTTCAGCTTTTTCATGGGTTCAGCATTCTCTGTATCATTAGATGGTCTTTTACGCTTTAATGTAGACTTTACAGGTTTGACCAGTTTTAACTCCTCCCTGGATTGAGGTTTACCAACAGGAATAAGGTCTTCAACTGATTCCTGAATATCATCTACCAGGAGAACCCATGGTCGAACTGCAGTTACGTTTCTTGGTGCTTTGTAGGTGAATGTGACAGGACTGAAGTATGTTCGGTCAAGGTTCCGCGGATTTTTGTCCCGAATTTTTTCTTTTATATGATAATCAGGAACAAAATGCAGTTTAATATGCTTCTTTAGCCTGTTCGGATCAGTGGTAGAATAAATATAGGTTTCTTGGTTCGAGTATCCTGCTATCCTGGCCAACTTGACTTCAGTAGACAGAAGATGTTGAGCAATATCATCCCTTGAGGTGAATAATTGACGAGCAGGGGATAAATATATCCGGTAGCATTCTCCTTTACTGTTTAGTTTATCAGTGTATTTCCATCCGTCGGGTAGGGTTGCGTCTACATCAATCCAATCAAACCTGTCAGGGTTAGACAAACTTATAAGGTAATGTTCCTGGGACTCATCTAAACGGCAGGGTTCAAGCTTTAGCCGCAGAATTTGTTTTTTGGTTTTGATCGGCAATGATGATTCTCTGAGACAGATTTTGTTGTTTACATGCATGTCGATGATATCCTTAGAGTGATCCGTCAGAGTACAGTTGGAGCATCTGAACTTGTAAATAGTTTGACGTGGATCAGCAGGTTTCACTAAAGGCATTTGAACCTGGGGCGTCCGGTTTGAGGTCGTAGAAGTCTCCTGAGTTTTAGAGTTCACAGGTTCAGTCAGATCCGACACCTATAAGACATAATTAACATATTCGGATTGAATAAAAATGAACCAAATCAAAACCAAACATATTTATACAGTGACCCCCCCCAAAAATAGGATTAGCGTTGTTGAGCCCCAAAAATTATTTGAAAAAAGGCCCGAAAAAGTGTTTTAAATCGGATCCTAGTTCAGCTCTTAACATTTCTTCAAGATTTAATGATTTTAAACGTATGAAGAAAGATAAATTTTCTCGGGTTTTCGTTTCTTTTTAAGATGAAACCATTAATAAATTAAGAAGTTGCTAATAATCTCGCGTTAGTTAATAGTGAATGGTAAGATTCGGATACGTGGATCCGCATTTTATACTTATACCAAATCTGGTTCCAACAAACCAAAATGTTGCGGATCCTAAGCACTGCTAAAAATGTGTTACCTCTGATGGAGAGGGTTGAGCCTGAGTCTTATTTCCATCAATTTCAAGGTCAACATATTTCTCTTCAACTAGTTTCAATCCTTCTTCGTTTAATACTACCAAGGGGTTTAAAGATTCAGTATTTTCTAGTTTTACTTCAGGCTGGGTGTTCTGGGTTTCCAGGTTAGGATAAGAGGATTCAATAATGCAAGTTGCAGCAGGAGCTGGGAGAGGAGAACTCTTGAAATTCTGATCTATAGTGAGAGTAGGAGTGGATGAGCTTACATCAGTTTCTTTTCGACCAACAGTACATTGAGAAGAAACAGCATTCTCCTCAACTTCAGAATACATAGTTCCGTTCAAGGTTTTCAGAATTTTTAGTTTTAGAGAAGATTTGGGTGTAACATTGATATCACTTGCTGGAGGGGGAGGAGCAGGGCTAGGTGCCAACCCGTTCTTCTGGTTAATAGCAGCGTTTGGTGTAGAAGAGGATGAAGATACTCCTGGAGCGGGATCATCTACATTATTTATTACTGGAGGAGCTGATGCAGTTGGATGAATAGATGTAGTTACACAAGAATCTACATCCTTCTCAATCACTGCTTTCACTTTAGGTACAACCACCTAAACCAATATACTAGATAAACAATGTATTCTTTGAAGAAATTAATCAATCTTGACAGCAAGCTTATAGTTGTTGTTAGGTCGATTTTGGTCCAAAGTTATTTAAAGCTTCGGATACTAAAATGATATTGTTGCCGAATGCCCCCCGAACTAACAAGTTGTTATATGTGCTTTTTGCAAGTTCTAGTGACCGCATGCATTGGTGACTGCGCGGATAGATTGGTCTAAAATTCAAAATATATTTACTTTAAGAATCATATCTGATAAACTTATTCGATCTTTACCTTTTTTAATTTAGGAGGCCGTCCTCTACGTCCCGGACTAGGGTGAGATGGATCTGGTGGTTTTAGGATCTCCTCCTTCCTCTTCTCAACAACCGACTTCCTTTCCTCATTCAATCCATTCCCAACACTGGAGAGGTTTCCTTCATCTGTAGTTTGGGTTTCAGAACAGTTGTGTTTAGTAGGAGTCCGGATCTTTAAAATGGCTTCAATCACCCAGTCATCCTAAAACAAGCTTATTAGAAAAGAAAGAAAAAAGCACACACATGAGAACGAGACAAATACAAGCCCTGAAATTGCAAATTATGGATTGAAGACTTATGTTCATCATCCCCGAACATTGCGCGAAGAGTCCAGAGCTCCGTGAAATTCAGGGAGGACACCTTCTGCGTAATTTTTTGTTTGGGCACCCCCTAGAAGACGTTGTGCACCCACTCCCCATAAAAACACCAATTTTGAAAAAAATATTAGATAGTTTTTATCTTTCTTAAAGAATCTTGGTTTAATGCATATATATTTATATATAATATAATAAGGTCCAAAAATCGTTCTATAGGACGGATCCCAATAACCATTATTCAGAGGATAGGAGTGCACATTGCACATACCCCCCCCCATACTATACAGTTACGCTTGGCAACAACAATGCATTTAGACATGCATGTATATGTAAATAATTAGAGTAAGACGATAAATAGATTGTAGTGACAACATTAATTTTGTGTCAAGTTACTTTTCTAGACTGTGTAAGTGTACTTGAAATAAAAATACGGAGGCAACTAGCGCAGTAAAATACCAAATACCGCGTTGTGATTTTATTGAAAAAATTTTAGTCGTCATCATTAGCTGATGTCGTATCATTCGAACTAAAATCCAAAACTTAATGTCGCGAGTTGAAAAAAAGTTTATTCACACTTTATCAATTATACATACATATGGTACTTTGATATTATAAGGCTTGTTAATTAACTGTAAAGTGCGTTTCGAATATACAAATTGAATGTCTCAATGTATATAGCAGCTAGGGCATAGGACGTAGTTCAGTTGATGTATTTGGCCGATTTTAGAAATTTTCATAATTACGCGGTATTCTTACACGTAGCAAATACAGCTGATAACATGATTATGCTGAGGAAAGATATTATCACCATTAATTAAATGTATGTTCATATGAAATGACTATAGTCGATGTCGAACATGAATTTATTTGAAAATGATGTAAACGAATTTAAATATTTCTAGAAAATCTGGTTTTAAAAATGAGTGCGGCGGGAGTATCTAAAGTTACATTCAAGATTACGCTGACATCTGATCCTAAGGTAATATATAAGGTTTCTTTCTGTTTCATTCAGCTGTTAATCTAATTTTTGATTATCTTCAACATAAATTTAAGTCCTGGGTCCGTCCCAGAGAACGAGGTAACTTTCTAATATACGATTTTTGGTATTTTCCTAGAGAACGATTTCTGGACCTCTCCTCCCGCCCCCTCCCCCCTCCTATCAATTATTTATGTACATGGATCACAAATGTAAGACATGGATATAATTGACCATGTGGCCGCAGCGCCCGGCCCCCTAGCCTGTCCTAGCCGCGGCGCTCGGGCCCCTAGCCAGTCCTAGACCCAGCGCTCGGCCCCCTAGCCTGTCCTAGCCGCAGCGCTCGGCCCAGAAAGTGTCTTACCTAACCTTACATTAAATTCATGGATCTTATATGTTAGACATGGATAAATTTGACCATTGGACAGAACCACTCCAATTTATGGTTGTTCATGTGCCAATTAAATTGTGCTTTGTCCACTTGCCCTGGTTTATATTCTGAATGCTGATGATGCATCCCTAACAAAAAATGACACAGGACGGGTTACAACAGAAATTTAGTAAGAAAATATAAAAAATATAATAATTCTCTTCGTTTTAATACGCTGTCACTCCTTAGTGTCGCTATAAGAGACTGTATGCGTAGTTTCAAGCGACCCTCCATGCAAAGATGGAAATGCCTGATTCTCAACCCTACCCTTAAAAGCTTTGCCCGATCAGTAATGAATTAAACACTAATGTTTATAATTTTGAAAAATAATTATTTTCCCCCTTTGCATGGAGGTTCACTTGAAATTAAGCTTACAGTCCCTTTAGGCGACACAAAAGAGTGACAACGTAGAGTAACTAGGAGACTTTTTTGTCATCGTGTATATAATATTATTCATATGTTTCAGCTCCCGTTCAAAGTTCTCTCTGTTCCTGACGGAACTCCGTTTACAGCTGTTCTCAAGTTTGCTGCTGAGGAGTTTAAGGTTCCTCCAGCAACCAGGTTGTTAACTTCATCATATTTTTATTTGTTATTTCTCCCTGGGGCAATCCAGTTGTGTAATCCATTTCATTTTGATGCAGAACTGGATCCTGGATCCGCCCTAAAAAATTAATCAGGATCCGGATCCACGTCATGAATTAAAGATTTTTTAACTAAAGAAGAATTTTTAAATGTTTTTATTTATTTTTCGCTTAATTACTCTTATGAACCTTTCAGAGAAAAGGAAAGTTTTGAATCATCTCTTATATAGCAGTCAAAATTTGGGTTTGAGAGCTTAAAGTTTATTTCTGCAATTTTTTGACAAAATTTTGATCGTTGGAGCCGGATCCTAAGCACTGCTTGAAAGAATGACAAATACTTTGTATTCCCAAATCAAAATTTCGGGATTATAAATGTTAAAATAGTTAAAATTCATAATCTAATTTAATGTTATTACAATCAAACTTTTTTTCAATGTCATTTTCTATTTGTAGCGCTATCATCACTGATGACGGTATTGGAATCAATCCTCAGCAGACGGCAGGAAACGTGTTCTTGAAGCATGGATCTGAGCTGAGACTTATACCTAGAGACAGAGTTGGATCTTGTTGAGCCCATCTTCATATCATCCTGCAGAATTTACACAAATATTTATATTTTTTTATCTTATTAATCTTTTAATAAAAACTATGTATTTTTTCATTTCGTTAAAATAATTTAACTTTATAGCATGTATACAGAACGTAGATTTGGCTACGCTTTCTTGTCATGAGTATTAAGTATAATTGTTAGATATTAACTTGTTAACTACAACATCATTATGCTTTGTTAGTAAAATAATTCTTAAGCTTACAAAAAAAAACATTCCTGAACTAACTTTTTGAAAGTCGCCAGTATTTACAGTGTTCAGTTCTAAAGAACCTGTACAAATTATGGAAATTATGTACAGTGTACATGGTACAAACGTGGCACAGACGTAAATAACCATTTTCTATTTCAGAGAATATGGAGGAATCTTTTAACAAAATGGATTTAAGTGGTAAACTCATAATCAAGGTAATACCTACAATATCTATATGGCTAAGCAGTTTAAACGGTAAAGGAGCATGTGTATTGGGTATTGGTGTAAGAATAATTCCAAATATAAGCTCTTTATTAATTAAATATTGCTTTGGGTAGCTTTGGAACAGGAAAGACGTAAATTATATGCGAGAAATACAAATGTTGTGTCTTTGACAGTTGTAAGACATAAGGGGTGTTTCATTCGTCTTATTAAATATTGAAACTGACTTTAAAGACATTAAAGTTGTATTTTATGAATAACAATTTATGAAGGAAAAGATTCGATAAATAAAGTGTACAACTCCGGAACTTTTAAAAATGTGGTCTGTTTCTTTTTTTAAAAAAAGATGTGTTGTAGAATTAGAAATTTTCGGTTATAGACTAGGTTTAGGGAGGATATCAGACGTATTCCAATCCATAATAGGGATATTCATTAAGCTAGGTTTTGGGAGGATATCAGGCGTATTCCAATCCATAATAGGGATATTTATTAAGCTAGGTTTAGGGAGGATATCAGGCGTATTCCAATCCATAATAAGGATATTTATTAAGCTAGGTTTTGGGAGGATATCAGGCGTATTCCAATCCATAATAAGGATATTTATTAGGCTAGGTTTGGGGAGGATATCAGGCGTATTTCAATCCATAATTAGGATATTTATTAGGCTAGGTTTGGCGAGGACATCAGGCGTATTCCAGTCCATAATTAGGATATTTATTAGGCTAGGTTTGGGGAGGATATCAGGCGTATTTCAATCCATAATAAGGATATTTGTTAGGCTAGGTTTGGCGAGGACATCAGGCGTATTCCAATCCATAATTAGGATATTTAATAGGCTAGGTTTGGGGAGGATATCAGGCGTATTCCAATCCATAATTAGGATATTCAATAGGCTAGGGTTGGCGAGGACATCAGACGTATTCCAATCCATTATTAGGATATTTAATAGTCTAGGTTTGGGGAGGATATCAGGCGTATTCCAATCCATAATTAGGATATTTAATAGGCTAGGTTTGGCGAGGACATCAGGCGTATTCCAATCCATAACGATGATCTCACGTATGACGAGCTTGTTCTAATGATGCAGGTGGTCCATAATAATAATAATAAAAATAAGACATGAACAAATATTTTAATCTTTAGCAAATTCAAACTACGAACATAGCGGTGATAAAAATGATAATATTTGTTTATTTGATTAGAGAGTGTTTAAAGGAAGTATAACTCCTGATGATGAACTACTTCTTAAATATAAAGATGAAGACGGAGATCTGATAACAATCACAGACAAGTAAATATTTATGAATTAGACTTTGTTATTTTCAATATAAACATTGTTTTTATCCAAATGTAAATAACGTGTAGAGGGCAGTGGAAAGTTTCTGCCCCCTCACCTGGCGTCATTTTAATTGAACCTCCATACAGAGATGACAATGCCAAATTCACAACGGTACCCTTAGAAGATTTGTCTGATCAAGTATGAATTAGATAACAATGATTATAATTTTGAAAATTGAATATTTTGGTTTCTCTACTAGCGCATTTCTACAGCAGGAATGCACTTCAAGACCTAGTAAAGTTAAAATATCTTCCTCATCATTGTTCAGATAAAAGTTTCAAGGTTACCGATGTGAATCTTTGCATGGAGGTCACATACAATTACGCGTACAGTCCCTTTAAATTAATAATGTTTACAATAAAATGATTTTTAAATAAAAAATAGCAAAAATAATTAATGGATTTGCCGTATTTCAATACTTAAACACCATCTTTTAAAACAAATTTTTCACGCTCAGGTAAAAAATTGGTATTATAATAGTCGCAATTCTCTCTTTAATAGGTTTTCAAGTATTAATATACTCGGCTTTTAAGGCGCGCTTCGCGCTCATCTTCTATTTCAACTTTTAATTGTGAGCACTGAGCATCTTCTCTTTGTACAGTATAAAACAAAAACAAGAAAAGGTTGCGGATTTCATAATTTTTTTTTTTCACGCATTTTCAAAATTTTACAAGAATAAAAAACTTTTAAGCACAAATTTTAAAATTTTGATCATTCATAAACCTTCCCTGGGGTCACGTGAGGTCCCACACAAAATTTGGGCTCGATTGGTTTAGCCGTTTTGACGTCTATTGGATACTAACAGACAAGCTAAATTTGTATATAGATTGAAAACGCTGAATTTAATTGTAACTGATCATCTTTTTAGTTCTGATCTGTCATTTGCGATCCAGTATTGTCGTGTTCTCAAGCTGACCATATTGAGTGGGAACCAGGAGCAGAAAACTGGAACCGTCTTACCCTCTCTAGATCAACTCAGGTTAGATAAAATAATATAAGCTTGATAAAAGGTTTACATAAGTCTCATAAGTCACATCATCAGGCTGCAATGTATATAGGGAATAGAAAATTTGATTTTGTGGTAGAGACTCAATTAGTTTGTACGCTCTCATTGACCGTTTACAGAACAGATGGTTCCCTAAGAGATGAAAAGATCTATTTGAGATTAGAAGAATGGTTACTTCGGGATAAGATTTGCTACTGCAAACTTTTTTTAAATGCTTTTTGTTGAAAATGAATAATAGAGATGTTGTGTTGGGGTTCTGTGTAATTACAGATTGCCAGTACAGGATATAAGCCCTAGGTGGTAAACTCGATTCAAACCAATCAATATTTTAGGAGCATCAGGGATGCAATTAACAAACTTCTAGATAGCTGCGTAGACTCAGGGTCAGCTCCGATACAGGTAATATAAAGCACTCTAACCTTTAAAGTTTTCCTAGGGATAGCATTTTCATAAAACAAACAGCAGTGATCAGGGCAAAAGAATAAATCTAGAGGGAATAATGTCCTATGTAAAAAATGATTTGCTGTGTTCAAAATACTTCTCCCGTGTCCAAAATGCTTCTTCTGCGAGGCTGTGAACAAAATGCTTCCTTTGTGCACACAATTCTACTTCTGTAAACAAAAGCTTCTTTTATTTACAAAATGCTTCTTTACTTAATTAACTTTACGAGTTGGTGGATGTCAACCTCGGGGCTCGGTTTACTCAGGTTCCCGATAATCCCAGCACCCGGTACGCTTACATCCAGGGTTCAATAATAGAACATGCCCTAGGCGGTTTACAAACAGACGACCCCAGGCGTGATTGTACACGTATCGTGAGGGGAAGTACTGATGGGTGTGGCTTCATACGGGGAATAAGATCCCCTAGAAGTTTTGTTTAATAATAATAATAATCCAGGTAGTTGAGGAGACTGGGGAACCTGATTCCAGTTTGTCATTGAACAAAGAGGTTTCTTCAGCTTTCAACGGTTTCAAGGAGCAGAGCAGGGAGTTCGATCCTTTAAATCAAGAGCAAACAAATCAGGTTTTTATCTAGCATTTTTTTTTTCTAACTCTACATTAGGATCCATTTCATTTTGATTAGGAGCCGAATCCTGGATCCATCCTAAAATAAAATCCGTGTTTAACTCACGAACATTTAGTTCTGCTAATAACTTTTATCGAAAATAAAGTTTCGAAATGTGGACAGTGGTGTATATTTTCTTTAAAAATCATTCTGAAAAATAAAATTTTGCATTGGGATCCAAGGACAGAGAATGTTCCTAACCACTTGTTTTTTATAACTTCCACCTTTCGTTCAAATAATCAATGCTTTCCTAAGAATTATTTTTCCACTACTTTACAAAAACAATGATGCTTAGATAGAAATCAGCCCCCCTCCTTCGGAAGATTGAAAATTTGATAGTAATTTTATAATATTCAGGTTCTGAAAGCTGACTCAGACTATCGAAGTGAATCCCGGGCTTCATCTGCACAGGATCCGTCGGATACAACCCCGTCATATCCGTCTCAACCTTCCTCCCAACAATCATTCTCAGCACCTGGGCAGCAACCTGTCTACCCAGCTGCACAAGCTGGTCAGCCGACCTTTCCAGGCCAACCTGCATACTCCGCAGCGCAGCCTGGATACTCATCTTCACAACCTGGTTATACTACTGCACAGTCTTCATATCCTTCTTCCCAGCCTGCCTACAATGTTGGATATCCAGCTGGTCAACCCCAGGCCGGTCAAACTCCGAACCAGGGCCAGGTAGCCATGCCGACTCCGTTTGCTGGTCAAACCGGTGATCCGGGACTTGCTAAACCATATCCTACAGCCCAGCGTCCCGTTCAACCTCCAGGAGCTACGCAGCAGCAGTATCCAGGTTTCCCAGGAGTAGGTCAGCAGCAACCTGCCTATTCAACTCCAGGATATACATCTGCAGGACCGGCAGCATACTCGGGCTACCCTGGATATACACCAACCAGTGCTCCGAGTAATCCTTATAGTAGAGCCACACCTGGAGCAGGATATGCGCATCCTCAGCAGACCCAACCTGGTTACAAATAATCTAGGGTTTAATACTTATCTTGCTACTAGGGTAGATACATCGCCAACAAAAATGTTTAAGTTTATGCTATGTAATAAGATGATTTTATGCGGGGGGGGGCAAATATATTTTTGTAATATTTATCCCTCCCTCTGAATATGAGGAAGGGTTTATGAGGGTTTTTTTATCGCTGACTTTGAGAAAATAAATGATATTGCGGGGTAAAATGAACTTGGCCGGGTTAAAACGCTCTAAATGTAATCTCCAATATCTTGTTTACAAAGCTACGAACACACTCCTCTCCTTCTTTCTTTTAAATATTTACACAAAAATTAAATATTCTGAAAGAGAACTTAAATGGTTCTATGATTATCATTCTCTTTTTTTTCCTGCTTTTTAAAACAAATTGATTCTTTTGCCAAAAATCATTGATTATAATTAACTCATGGTGCTGACAACAAGCTAAATTTTCTTTCCTTTTTTTTAAATTTTTGTATAAAGTTTTTTTTTTAAATCTGAGTGATGCCAAGGCCCCTCCCCCACCCTGCCCGATAATCTAGATCAAATTTAGCATCAGTGATAAATTGTAAATTGTTTGAAGTCCCTTAAATCTAGATATTTAATATTTATTTATTAATTATAAATTTTGTGTAAATGTGTGCGAATTGTATTTTAATATACGGAGATTTTATAATGAATATTTCTATTAAATTACTTCACCTTTTTACATGGACTGTTTTATTGTAATGTTTGTACATCTTCAACTCTTCCGAAAATTATGTCAGGTGTTAAAACGAACATTATTTTATATTTGAAAAAAAAATTCAATGAAATATGTTTAGATCAAATGTTAAACCCTGCTGTCACGGTGTTTTTCTTATTTTTTTTATGAAACTGTGTACTTTATCATTCTTACTCATTTCATCGTGTATTTCATAATGAACGTGCTATAAAGTTAAATTAGCTGAATATTATAGCACCGTGCTGTAAAGTAATTATGTTAAATTAGCTGTCCATTATAGGACGTGTGGCATAAAGTTTTGATTGGTTCCCGGATTTTCTCAAGAAAAATTAGGATATTTCCAAAATATTTCTTTTTTCGATTGAAATGAAAATAAAATTGAAATCAGCTTTATATTTTGACATCTGCTTAGTTTCAAAGCTTTTTTGATATAGAAATAGCCATTGGAAATAAGACAAGAACACAAACGTTTCATAAAATTACCTATAACACTATTATTTTGGCACGATGTGCTATACAGTTTTTGGACTTAAATTTTCTCTATATCTCGAAGGTTCTCGCCTTTTTAGATTATATTTTGTCCCTCACTAAGGCTTGATCCTTCTCGATTAAAAAAATTTCTGTCCCAAAACTTTATAAGACTGCGAACCACAATAACAATGTTATAAATAGTTATTTTCCGAGGCTCATTAAAATGTTCGGACTTCTTCTTAAAACTTATGCTCCTCGCTTTAGGCCCTAAAGTCCTTTGGAAACTTGTTCTTTCCCTTTGCCAGTCTTATGATCCACTTTTTAAATGTTTCCTTAACATAGTCTCAAAGAGTGAATATTAAGAGCGGCACGGTTAGTTTTCATAACGTTTTCAGAATATTTTGCGAAAAAATTAATTAATTTAGAAAAGATGGATTCAACTTTTACTTTCGGCAGAGGACGGTTGATGAAGAAAGTTCTGGAACAGGTTTGAATTTATTTAGCTAATGTGAGAAATATTGGTAAAAAGTTGTAACATCGGAACAGCTTGAAGAAATAGCTTGTAGAGATGGGATTCAAATGATTAGGGAGAATATTATGAGATTTACAAATTATAAAATGATTAAATTGGATTGAACAATGGAGATGATTCATCAAAAAGGACGGACTTGAGAAACAATAAACCTTTCATGGTGTACTGTTAGCTGTATGTAGAAAATGTCTGAAGTTTTGATATGGACAAAATTAAAAAAAGAATAAAAAGGGTTGTAGAATCTTTAAGGACTTTAATTGATGCTATTTAGAACACTGTATAAAAGTAAACACATATTTAGAACAACCTGTATAGAAATGAACCTATTAAGAACACCCTGTATACAATTAAACCTATTTAGAACAACCTGTATAAAAATGAACCTATTAAGAACACCCTGTATACAATTAAACCTATTTAGACTCTTTAAAAAAGTGAACCGGTTAAGAACACCCTGTATACAATTAAACCTATTTAGAACACTCTTTAAAAAAGTGAACCTGTTAAGAACACCCTGTATACAATTAAACCTATTAAGAACACTCTTTAAAAAAGTGAACCTGTTAAGAACACCCTGTATACAATTAAACCTATTAAGAACACGCTTTATAAAAGTGAACCTATTTAGAACACCCTGTATACAAGTAAACCTATTTTAGAACACCCTTTATAAAAGTAAAACTATTTGGAACACCCTGTATTAAAGTAAACCTATTTGGAACATCCTGTATCAAAGTAAACCTATTTGGAACATCCTGTATTAAAGTAAACCTATTTGGAACATCCTGTATTAAAGTAAACCTATTTGGAACACCATGTATTAAATTAAACCTATTTGGAACATCCTGTATTAAAGTAAACACTCTGTATAAAATTTATACTATTTAGAACGAGGACTGCGTGGTAGAATTATCTAAGATTAGAGGAATGATTAAAAATGGCAATTCCTTTCCAGACAGGGAAAAAAATAATTTTTTAAACCACAAATTATATTTTTAAATTCTTTTTTTTTAACGAGACGTTGAATTTAATGATATAAAGATAGCTATGAAGAAATAAGAAGGGGCGTGCTGGTACACATTTTATTTGTGAGGAGAGATTTAATTGTTGAAATGTTTATATTTTAAAGCGATAGCAAATTTTAAACGTGAATTGGTTACTGAAAATATTAAAAGCCGCCTTCTCAATGAAAAATTTATAAGGAAAAAAGTGTAGACAATTCCTTTTTTAATTTCTGTTCAGTAAAGATAGGCAAACTTGAAAATTGCCATAAATTGAAAATTTTATTTGTTGAATCAGTAGTGGGTTTATTGCTTATCACGGCAGGTAATTCTTACTTCAAACTAATAAAATTAGAATTTGATCACAAAAATTGTTTTTTTTTTGTTGAAATGGGTTAATCATGCTTCATGTTAAACTACGTAAACTACTTCTCCCTATTTAATAAATTTGGTCCCAGGGCATATTTAAAGAAATATATCAGGTATAAGTTAGAAAATCATTACCGATATTTCAAGAAAATCATTACTGATATTTCATTATAAAAAAACGAAGAAAACATAAAAATTTCTTAATTTTTCTCAGTACCACTGTTTATCAGAAGATTATTAATTGAACCAGAAGAATATTTATACTCCATTAAAGTTGATGCGGTGAAAAGTCCTGAATCCGTGCTTCTGAAGATCCTGAGATATCGTATAGAAACTTAATTTTTACTTTTTAGCGTAAATTACTTGCAGATGATCCCAAATGTCTGCTGCACACTTTTCCTTGCTAGCATAAGCATACGGATTAGTTAGCAATTAAAGCGTGATCTGAATCCGGAACCGAGAAACGGAAATAATGCGGAAAAAGCGGATCCAGATCTTGAACTCTAATTGAATTAAATTGAATATTCTTAACAAAGATTGATTTTGTTAACTTTAACATTTTTTATTTTTTGTTTTTAATCTTTGAATATTTTTCGTAGTTCTCCGGATACTGTGAAGAAATGGAAGAATGATTTGAAGGAGAATGCCAGTGAATACAGAGAGAATGATGCAACCAATATTTGGAAGGTAAGTATACAATTGGTGATGCTTAGTGTTTTACAAATTTAAAATTTGTTTATTCTAAACATTAGCTTAAACTATGTCAAATTTTAACCCTGAGTGAAGATGTATGCTAAAACGAACCATTAAAACTATCTTTTAAAAAAAATCTTTTTTGGTTTGTTTATTCCTTGTATTTTCTCTTAGGACAACATTTTTTATGCTTTGAAGCAGAATTTTACAAAATATAGTTTGGAATCTGAACATATTTTTGAAGCACGCCTGTTCATAGTCAATAAACTTGAAGTAAAAACAACGAACCAAGTGATTGAACATCAATTTGTTCGATGCATATACTATAATTATATTAGATGGCCCAGCAACAAAATAAAATCATCAATAGGATCTTTTATTTTTATTCGTTTATTCTTATCTTTTTTATTCAAATTCTTATAATTAAAAAAAAAATTCTTTGAGTAAAATTCTATGAGTACAATTTATGAAAGTCACTTCAGATTAACTTGGTCAAATTTAGGAACTGAGACGGACAGAAAAACTGAAGAAAGAGAAGGAGCGTGAGGAGGAGGAGAAGAAGAAGGTAATAAAAATGTCAAAATAAAAAGTAAATCGAGTAACATATCTCATATATATATGTGTATGAATATATATAAATTTATCTATCTGAAAAGTAAAACACATATTATTTTTCCATTTTATTGTTGTTCAAAATGATGTATATATACTAGCTGAAGGGCCTGGGGTTGGCCTTATTAAAATTTTAAAAAAAATTTAGCCAATAACACCTCCGGCCAATAGGTCCAGCCGTTTGGCCGGCTATACGCAACATATATACATATATACGAATGTCTTGTTCTATTATATAGATAATATATATATTTTTTTTATATTTATTATCAGATGGAGGGAAGAAGAGATCCGTATTTGCCTGAATATCAAAGACAAACTAGACGTGGTTCATCTCGACTCCTGGATACCGGTCGGAAGGATAACAGCTGGTTGTATCAGCACCTGGTTCAGTCTTCATCTGGAGGATCCGGAGTAAACCGTCCGGATGGGAGAAAGATTCGTCCTGCGTCAAGCAATGATGTATCACATCTGGATCAATTCCAGTCTGCAGAGGATAGCATATCGGAGAACTCTGTACCGTATACTGGAAGAAAATTGCTGATCAGCAGGCTGGGCTTGGGAAAAAAGCAGGATGGAAAACCTAGGGAAAGACACAATCCCCTGATTTCTCTTTCCGATTCAGAGATAAGGTGTGTACTAAAATATTTGCTCTAACTGATAAATGTCTTCTTTCAGCTAATTCAGTGGCTAGTAACTAACAAGATATGATATGATATGGTGGGAATGGGAACTATGCGAACTATACAGGGAACTATGCGAACTGTATAGGGAGCTAAACGAACTGTAGGGAACTAAACGAACTGTAGGGAACTAAAGGAACTGTAGGGAACTATACGAACTGTAGGGAACTAACCGAAATGTAGGGAACTATACGAACTGTAGGGAACTAACCGAAATGTAGGGAACTATACGAACTGTAGGGAACTAACCGAAATGTAGGGAACTTAAGGGACTGTAGGGAACTATACTTATTGAAGGGAACTTAAGGGACTGGAGGGAACTTAAGGGATTGTAGGGAACTAAAGGGACTGTTGGGAACTAAAGAGACTGTAGAGAACTAAAGGGGCTGTAGGGAACCTAAGGGGCTGTAGGGAACTAAAGGGGCTGTAGGGAACTATACAAACTGTAGGGAACTATTCGAACTGTAGGGAACTAAAGGGACTGTAGGGAACTAAAGGGACTGTAGGGAACTATACGAACTGTAGGGAACTAAAGGGACTGTAGAGAACTAAAAGGGCTGTAGGGAATTAATGGGACTAAAGGGGCTGTAGGGAACTAAAGGGGCTGTATGGAACTAAAGGGACTGTAGAGACTGTAGGGAATTAAAGGGGCTGTAGGGAACTAAAGGGACTGTAGAGAACTAAAGGGACTGTAGGGAACTAAAGGGGCTGTAGGGAACTAAAGGGGCTGTAGGGAACTAAAGGGACTGTAGGGACTGTAAGGAACTAAAGGGGCTGTAGGGAACTAAAGGGACTGTAGAGAACTAAAGGGACTGTAGAGAACTAAAGGGGCTTTAGGGAACTAAAGGGACTCTAGGGAACTAAAGGGGCTGTAGGGAACTAAAGGGGCTGTAGGGAACTAAAGGGACTGTAGGGACTGTAGGGAACTAAAGGGGCTGTAGGGAACTAAAGGGACTGTAGAGAACTAAAGGGACTGTAGGGAACTAAAGGGACTGTACGGAACTAAAGGAGCTGTAGGGAATTAAAGTGACTGAGGGACAAACTGAACCAAAGTGACTAAACCTACCGAAGTGTTAAAACAAACTGAGGGCACTGATTATTAGAACTCAAATGACTGAACGAACGAACCGTAAGAGCTATATTTAAATTATGAAAACTCAGGACTGTATGGATTAATGCATGGACTGAAGGGATTATTGTAGAAAGTGAAGGGATCAAGGAACTGAAGGGATTGTAGGAACTGAAGGGTCTGTGGGATCGAAGGGATTGTAGGAACTGAAGTTGCTGTAAGAACTGTAGGAACTGAAGGGATTGTAAGAATTGAAGGGACTAGGAACTAAAGGACTTATAGGAACTAAAGGGATTGTAGTAATTGAAGGGATTGTATGAACTAAGGAACTGAAGGGGTTGTATGAACTGAAGGGATTGTAGGAACTAAAGGGATTGCAGGAATTGAAGGGATTGTAGGAACTGAAAGGATTGTAGGAACTGAAAGGATTGTAGGAACTGAAGGGATTGTAGGAACTGAAGGGACTGTAGGAACTGAAAGGATTGTTGGAACTGAAAGGATCGTAGGATCTGAGGACTGTAGGAACTGAAGGGGTTATAGGAACTAAAAGGACTGTAGGATTTGAAGGGACTGTAGGAACTGAAGGGGTTGTAGAAACTGAAGGGATTGTAGGAACTGAAGGGGTTGTAGGAACTGAAGGGATTGTAGGAACTGAAGGGACTGTAGGAACTGAAGGGACTGTAGGAACTGAAGGGATTGTAGGAACTGAAGGGATTGTTGGAATTGAAGGGATTGTTGGAACTGAAGGGACTGTAGGAACTGAAAGGATTGTAGGAACTGAAGAGATTGTAGGAACTGAAAGGATTGTTGGAACTGAAGGAATTGTAGGAACTAAAGGGACTGTTGGAACTATAGGGACTGTAGGATTTGAAGAAATGGCTGGACTGAAGTAACTAAGGGGACTGAAGTAACCATGGGGACTGAAGTAACCAAGGGGACTGATGTAACCAAGGGGACTGAAGTAACATAGGGGACTGAAGTAACAAAGGGGACTGAAGTAACAAAGGGGACTGAAGTAACTAAGTGGACTGAAGTAACTAAAGGGACTGAAGCAACAAAGGGGACTGAAGCAACTAAAGGGACTGAAGTAGCTAAGGGGACTGAAGTAACTAAGGGGACTGAAGTAACTAAGGGGACTGAAGTAACTAAGGGGACTGAAGTAACTAAGGGGACTGAAGTAACTATGGGGACTGAAGTAACCAAGGGGACTGAAGTAACCAAGGGGACTAAAGTAATCAAGGGGACTGAAGTAACTAAGGGGACTGAAGTAACTAATGGGGACTGAAGTAACCAAGGGGACTGAAGTAACCAAGGGAAGTAATCAAGGGGACTGAAGTAACTAAGGGGACTGTAGTAACTAAGGGGAATGAAGTAACTAAGGGGACGGAAGTAACTAAGGGGACTGAAGTAACTAAGAGGACCGAAGTAACTAAGGGGACTGTAGTAACTAATGGGACTAAAGTAACCAAGGGGACTGAAGTAACCAAGGGGACTGAAGTAACTAAGGGGACTGTAGTAACTAATGGGGACTGAAGTAACTAAGGGGACTGAAGTAACTAAGGGGACTGAAGTAACTAAGAGGACTGAATTAACTAAGGGGACTGAAGTAATGGGACTAAAGTAACTAAGGGACTGAAGTAACTAAGGGGACTGAAGTAACTAAGAGGACTGAAGTAACTAAGGGGACTGAAGTAACTAAGGGTACTGAAGTAACTAAGGGGACTGAAGTAACTAAGGGGACTAAAGGAACTAAAAGATGTATGATCTAAGGGACCAAAAACTAAAATGGTATGGTAATGAACGGAAGAAAGTGTTCCACAGATATGAACAATATAAATAGCATAAATTAAAAGACGATCATTTTTCTTACACTAATATATTCGATATTCAAATTACTGATGTCTTTTTTTAGTGTTTGTGACCTCGCAGCTGTTGACTCTGATTTCACAAGTGACGGAGACTTAACACAATATTACTCTGCTCAATCTAGTCTGGATAGTCAGATGGAGTTCTAATTTAATAGGAGCAGCATGGTGTCCCAACAAACATGGGAATTGAGAAACCACTTGACTAGTTTTTTATTTCAAATATCTCCGTCAATTTTGAAGGTGAAAAAATGTTAGACCACCAGAGGCGTATTTAAGGGGGGGGCTATGGGGGCTAAGCCCCCCCCTGGACTAGTGAAATCTATTGATTTCAGGGGGTTTTCAGGCCCCAACGGGTGCTGAGCCCCCCCTGGAAACAGAAAAAAAAAATTAAGCCCCCCTGGACAAATTCCTGAATCCCTGTAGACCACATTTCGAAAATCATGAGACAACTGGTTTTAGGTGTTAAATGTATTAACTGTGATACTACAAATTATGTTTACGAAATAATCCAGCTTGGAACAAATACGATAAAAAGTCGTCGTTTAATTCACATGTTTAATGGGACACCCTATACAACAATTCTTTGAAAACAAACTGGAAATAGTGGTTTCTTTTGATCGGATGAACGGGTGCCATAATTATCAAATAGTTAATCAGGTTCTATGGAATCTATGGAAACAGAAGAACTAAAGGCTCAATATAGATTTAGGTCGAAGAACCCTAAGTCCTTAAGTTTCCTCTGGGTCGGATGAGTGGGTTTCTGTATATCATTGTTGCAATCTCTCCGGCTTTTGTCGTCTTCAATACAGTGTAAAGTGTACATTTGCACGTGTTGAACCCAACAACCCAATACTGCTTTAAGCTCAGCAACCATGTAGTTTCGGTCTAATATGTTCTAAATCTAATCCTGTATTATTTTGCTACCATGTTATTGCTGTTGCTGTTTGCCAATGTCATCACAAATTTGTTGTGAATGTATTCCTGAGTTTAGTCTTCAACAAAATTGTACGAGTTTTTAGTACCTGGAGATCCAACAAAATTAAACGATTATGTTTCATGGATATATTCAGCATATTGTTGTAATTGCCTCTTCTTTCGTCCATTAAATGAATATAACCCTGATCTAAGATTCAATACATTAGTTATTAGTAAATAGGTCCGTTCCCTCGAGGAATAATCAGCTAAATTTAATTGTGATCCAGTGATCAACCGAAATATTATGTATTGTATTTTCGTGCTGTCGTTATATGCCTCTCTGAGTTCTAGATTTCTAGTTCATAGTTTATAATTTCAGATAAAAATGGGTGAAACTCCAATGAAAGAAAAGAAAAAGAAGTCTAAGGACAAAAGTATTGGAGAATTGCAGGTATTATCTCACTATTTTTATATTTTTTTGGGGGGGAAAGAAAGCTTTACGTTAATTTGAAAGTTTTGAAACACAAATTAAACACTTTTTCTTTTCTAGTGTTAACCAACTCTAGTTAATCTTGGTTTAATCTATCCTTGGTAATTTCCTAGTATACGATTTTTGGACCCCCCCAGGCCCCCCCCCCCTCCTATCAATTTTGTACATGGGTGCGACAGGAAGTTTCTTAACTTAACCTAACCCGTGGCCGCAGCGCTCGGCCCCCTAGCCCATCCTAGCCGCAGCGCTCGGCCCAGAAAGTGTCTTAACTAACCTAACCCGTGGTCGCAGCGCTCGGCCCCCTAGCCCATCCTAGCCGCAGCGCTCGGCCCAGAAAGTATCTTAACCTAACCTAACCCTAAATAACAAAAAAATAAATAATAATAAATTTGCTGAAAAATAAATGGTCATGTACAAAATTGATAGGAGGGGGGGGGGGGTCCAAAAATCGTATACTAGGACAGACCCCTATCCTTTTATTGTTTCTCCTCTATTCATTCTTAACCAAAAATAGTTGTTTTGGCAAATTAAGAAAATTAAATTCGAAACCGTTTTTGGATTTCATTCCTGCAGCCGCCTTAGGTACTTAAAAGTTAATTTTTAAGGAGAATTATGCAGTCTTTCTTTATTACCCACATTCCCAGCGTCCCTAAAATTTCTTCACATCCCTCGTTTCCCTTCACCTTTCTACCCTTCACCCTTCACATCCCTATACTTCTCTCTTGGCATCCATACACACACATTTCCTCACAACTCTGCACTTCTCACTTCACATCCCTACACTTCTCCCTTAACATCTCTACATTTCTCCATTCACATCCCTACACTTCTCCCTTCACATCCCTACACTCCCATCCCATCCCTACACTCTGCCCATCACATTCTTACACTTTCCCTTCACATATTTACACTTCTCCCTTCACATCCCTACACTTCCCCCTTCACGTCCCTATTCTTCTCCCTTCACATCCCTACACTTCTCCCTTCACACCCATACACTCTATTCACATCCCTACACTCTATTCACATCCCTACACTCCCTTCACATCCCTACCCTCCGCCCATCACATTCTTACACTTTCCCTTCACATCTTTACATTTCTCCCTTCACATCCCTACACTTCTCCCTTCAAGTCCCTATTCTTCTCCCTTCACATCCCTATTCTTCTCCCTTCACATCCCTACACTTCATTCACATCCCTAAACTTATCCCTTCACATCCCCACACTCCCTTTCCATCCCTACACTCCGCCCGTCACATTCTTACACTTTCCCTTCACATCTTTACACTTCTCCCTTCACATCCCTGCTCTTCTCATCCCACCACCTTTCCCATCCCTACACTAATCACTTCAAATATCTTTCCCTTCACATCCCTACACTAATCACTTCAAATATCTTTCCCTTCACATCCCTACACTAATCACTTCAAATATCTTTCCCTTCACATCCCTACACTAATCACTTCAAATATCTTTCCCTTCACATCCCTACACTAATCACTTCAAATATCTTTCCCTTCACATCCCTACACTAATCACTTCAAATATCTTTCCCTTCACATCCCTACACTAATCACTTCAAATATCTTTCCCTTCACATCCCTACACTAATCACTTCAAATATCTTTCCCTTCACATCCCTACACTAATCACTTCAAATATCTTTCCCTTCACATCTCTACACTAATCACTTCAAATATCTTTCCCTTCACATCCCAACACTAATCACTTCAAATATCTTTTGACATCTCTCTGCTTTTTCCTCAATGTCCCACACTTCTTTCCAGGGGGGGGGAGGGGGCAAAAATGGGAGCTTTCATTGGGTTTGGGGAAAAGAATGAAAAAAAGGAAAAAGGGGAAGGGAAGGGGAAAGGAAAGAGGGAAGAGAAAGGGGGAAAGAGGAAAGAGAAAGGGGGAAAGAGGAAAGAGAAAGGGGGAAAGAGGAAAGAGAAAGGGGTAACAGGGAAGGGTAACAAGGGAAAAGGGGCAATAGGGAAGGGAAAAAGGTGCAAAAGGTTTTGAAGTTGCTGATTTGGAGGAAAAATATTATTCTGAAAGTGTGTTTGGGGGGGAATACGAGTCTCGCAACTGATATACACCCCTGCAGTTCTTTCTTCACATCCCTATACACATATCTTCACAAATCTATAATTTTTCCTTCACATCGCTTTGCTTAACTCCTCACTTATTTACACTTTTTCTTTTGCATACCCTCACTTCTCCAAGGGTCACATTCCTCCATTTCTCGTTTGACCGCTCTGCACTTCTCCCTTCAAATCATGTCCCTTCTTCATTCCCCTCGTCTCCCTTCATAACCTTCTGTTCTCCCTTTTAAACACTCTTGTTCTCCCTTCTCGATTCTTTTAATTCCTTTAGTCCTCTATTTGTATCAATTAAATCCTCCACATCCCTATGTTGTTTCCCTACCGTTACTTTCACTTCACCCTTCACATTCCCGAACCCTCCTCCAAATTAAACTTGTAACTGCAGTTTTAAGTCACGGAAAACTTTTGAACTTTTCATTTGATTATAATATTCTATTTTAGTCTGAGAACAGTTTCACAGTTGAACCCTCCTCCAAACCAGTCCCCAAACTCGACACATCTGAATGGCCTCTTCTTCTCAAAAATTTCGACAAGCTGAATGTGAGAACCAACCATTACACACCTCTTCCCCATGGTGCTTCGCCCCTGAAGCGAGATATCGTAAACTATGTTAAATCCGGTTTTATTTGTTTGGATAAACCTGCAAACCCCAGTTCCCACGAGGTTGTTGCCTGGATTAAAAGGATTCTCCGAGTAGATAAAACTGGACACTCTGGAACCTTGGACCCTAAAGTTACAGGATGTCTTGTTGTTTGCATCGACAGGGCTACTCGTCTGGTCAAGTCCCAGCAGAGCGCGGGCAAGGAGTACACATGCATCTACAGGCTTCACGACTCCATCCCGGTCAAGAGGATAAAGCAGGAGTTGGAGAAGTTGAAAGGTGCGCTTTTCCAACGTCCCCCTCTAATATCAGCTGTCAAACGTCAACTGAGAGTGAGAACAGTTTACGAGATGAAACATATTGAGCACGACCCGGAGCGGAATATGGGAATATTCTGGGTTTCTGTGGAATCTGGATTCTACGCAAGAACGATCTGCGTTCATCTTGGTCTCATGTTGGGCTGCGGAGGTCAAATGCAAGAGTTGAGAAGACCTAGATCAGGTATTATGACTGAGAAGGATTGTTCCACTATGCATGATATCCTTGACGCACAGTGGCTGTATGATAACCACAAGGACGAGTCCTACCTCAGACGTGTTATTCGTCCCCTGGAAGCACTACTGACAGGACACAAGAGGATTATCATGAAAGACAGCGCCGTGAATGCCATTTGCTACGGAGCCAAGATCCTACTTCCTGGTGTTCTCCGCTACGAGGACGGTATTGAGATCAACGAAGAGATTGTTGTCTGTACAACCAAGGGTGAAGCGATCTGTCTCGGTATTGCCCAGATGACCACTGCCACAATGGCAAGCTGTGATCACGGGATCGTTGCCAAGATTAAGAGGGTTGTGATGGAACGTGATCTGTATCCAAAGAAGTGGGGACTTGGACCTAAGGCTACTATCAAGAAAGGTATGATCAAAGAGGGTTTACTGGATAAATATGGGAAACCTAATGAGAACACTCCCAAGGGCTGGAAGTCAAGCTATGTTGACTACAACGTGAAGGGGGAGAACGGAGTAGGGGCACCAGAAGTCAAGGTTGAGAAGGAAGACAGGAAGAGGAAGCACAGTGAGCAGTCCGTCGAGGAACCGGTAGTCAGCGACGAGGCCAAGAAGGAGAAGAAGAAAAAGAAGAAAGACAAGAAGTCTAAGGAGAATGGAGATGAAACTCTGAACAATACCGCAGATACGACCATGGATGTAAGTGAAATTCTTATATTAATAAGTTCCAAGACTAAATTTTTTAGTTTGGACAAATGGTATCTGAGGTTTGAGAAAAGACCGAATTCGTGTTTTTAGTAATGTATTTCATATCACCCCTAAATTAAAATGGTTTTTAATCGTTCTTAAAATATTTTTGATCTTGTAATAAATTAAATATTTTGTTCAGGTTTCCCAGAACGGCGACGGATCTGATTCTGAGAAGAAAAAGAAGAAGAAGAAGAAAAAGAAGGAGAACGATGAATAGTCCTGAGTATATACATACAGTAACTATATTCTATATGATCGGTTTCACACGCCTGTTATCTCGCATTTTTTTGCCAGAATAAATACCAACAATTAACCCCTGTAGTTTTACATGATTTATAGGCTAACATTGTTGGAACATTTTTTCAGAATACACAATGTCGTCGTTTAAAAATGCTATGAAGAGTCAGAAAACTCATAGAGAACGTCATCAACCAGAAAGTCGAAGTAATCTGGGGCTACTGGAGAAAAAGAAGGATTATAAACTCCGTGCTCAGGACTTTAATCAGAAGAAGAAAACCCTTCAACAGTTGCGAAAGAAAGCTTTGGATAAAAACCCGGATGAGTTCTATTATCACATGATAAATTCCAAGACGGTGGACGGAGTTCATCATGAGAAGGGGAAGGAATCACAGTTGTCCGTTGAGCAGATTGCGCTCATGCAAACTCAGGATTTAAATTATATCCTGAGCAAGAGAACTTCGGAGAAACGGAAACTTGATAAATTACAGTCTCATCTTCATCTGATCAGTGCTGGAGATAAACCTTGTAATACACACACTATATTTGTGGACTCGGAGCAGGAGAAAGCAAACCTGAATATTGCCCAATACCTGGAAACGCACCCTGCTCTTCTTGGCAGAACACACAACAGACCTAGACTGTCAGACCTCAAGAATGGGAAATTTAAGCCTACAGATCCTGAGAAGGTGTGATTTTAGTTATGTTTAGGAATGTCATGAGTTCATTTGGTTTGATAAGTCATTGTTAATTTTTTTTGTGATAATCTGAATTGAGGGTAGGGGGAAGATTGCGACGAAATCGATGTTGCCACGACGCATATAATGTTCTTGGTTATTGACCAAGGCGTAAAGTGAATATAAGTCGACAGAATACTCTAAAGAAATCAGTCTAATTTTATATAAACTAGAAATGAACTTGGTTGATTTCTTCCGTGTTTTTGGAGTTATTTACTGTTTCTTTTTTTAGTCAAAAGTTAAAATTCTGCGCCTTTACATTCTTCGAAATGTGTAATCTACAATCAAATTTTTAGTCTTTACCCCGTCAATCTGTGTGTTGGCGATTTAATTAGCGAAAAATGTTACGGGGTCGACAATTTCATGATAAATTGGTCTTTCCCTCTTCAGTGTTATTTATCCAATATATTCAATTAATGTTTTTTGCCTGAATTTGTGAGAATAAAGATTTTTTGGGATAAAAAGTTCAATTGCCCCCCCCCCCCCTCCAAAAAAAATGTTACCTTTATAATCTTTTGGCATTGCTTAGGATCCGGATCCGCAAAAATATTCGAATCAAAGGGTAAAACACGACAAAAAACTGAGAAAAAAATTTGCTTCCGAAACTTGATAAAATAAATATCTCTAAGATTCATCAATTTTTAATATAGAAATTCTAAAAATCGGTGAATCTTAAGGAAATGTTCATGACCTGGATCGGGATCCAGTTTTTCAGTAAGCATCCACATCAAAATCAAATGGATCCTAAGCACTGTCTGAGTTTTTGGCTAATGTTAACACGTATATATTTGTTTATTTTTGTAGCTGCATTGGTGAGAATTGAATCTTAATCTTAATAGTTTTCATTGTTCAGAACAAAAAAAGAATTTCTTGAATTGGTATTAATTTTCCAGATATTGATTATTTCTATTTTTTTAGATGAAGTTGATCCGACGTGAGACGGCTAAAGCGTACAAGGAGTTGGAGCAGAGAATGGATAGAGAGGAGAAACTATCTGTTCTTCAACGCAAGATGGAGCTGAGAGCTCTTCTCCGCGGAGGGAAAAATAAACCATTAAAGGTTTTGAAGGAGGAAACCAAAACCTCTGCACCTGTTTATGTCTGGGCAAAAGAGCGAAAAAGATGAGATATTTGTGAATAGTTAAGATTTATCCAATTTTATAAAAAAAAATATACATTAATTTGTTGCAGGAATCTGAGCTTCAATTATTTTGTAGAATTTGAATAATATTTGTTGAGTTTTGAGAACAGACTACTATTTCCTGGCTCTAAACTTGAATAAGATTTGTTGACTTTTTAGAACACAGACTACTATTTCCTGGCTCTAAATTTGAATAAGACTTGTTGACTGTTGAGAACACAGACTACTATTTCCTGGCTCTAAATTTGAATAAGATTTGTTGACTGTTGAGAACACAGACTACTATTTCCTGGCTCCAAACTTGAATAAGATTTGTTGACTGTTGAGAACACAGACTACTATTTCCTGGCTCTAAACTTGAATAAGATTTGTTGACTTTTTAGAACACAGACTACTATTTACTGGCTCTAAATTTGAAAAAGATTTGTTGACTGTTGAGAACACAGACTACTATTTCCTAGCTCTAAAATTGTGAAAGGTTGTTTTAAATCCGCGGAATTATTAACCTATCGTATTATAAATATTGCTAACTATTTTCTTTACTTTTAGAATTTGAAAAGATTTGTTGACTTTTGAGAACACAACCTACTAGTTCCTTGATCTGAACTTGTGAATGGTTGTTCCTTAAACCCGCGGAATTATTAATACTGTATGGTGATATGTAGAAATATTACTAATTATTTTGTTTGAAAAACCTGTTAGAGGGTGTATATTTTCTTGAAAAATAGTTTCCTCATTCGAAAACATATATAGGGTGTGGTGTATTAGCAGTATGTAAATAAATTCTATGGTCGAAAAGGATGAATAAACTTGTCTTTTGATATATATATTTAAGGTGTTATTTGTGGGGGTGGTGAGGTTGGCTAGCTCCCCTGTGTCGAAAATGTTTTCATATTGAAAGTACTGTTTAAAGAGTTTGAAGTCCGATACTTGTCAAATCGTCAAATGTGTGTGCGAAGCGGAAAAAAATCTCAAGGGTTTAATTTTCCCAATTTTGATGGTATTTTCTAAAAATAATTGTACTTTCTGTAGTAATATTTGTTCATACGATAACATTGATACGATATTGATATTCTCTATTCTGACAATTAGTAGGTTGTCTCTGATACAGGTTGTCCCACGAAACATGACAATAGCAAGACGACTTGAAAGTCGTCTTTGATATTTTATTTGTGTCATTTAGTCTTCTATCTACTTTAACATGCATGATTCTTGAAACAATAATCACATAATTCTCCTAGCCCTGGCATTTCCAAAAAGTGGTCTGCGTTTTTTGTGCTTTCAATATTACCGGAGATATAAAGAGTTTGGTTCAGATTTCAATTTTGTTAAATAAAAGCGAAATTGTTCATATCTCGGGCAATATTGAAAACACAAAAAATGCAGACCACATTTTGGAAATGGCAGGACTAGGGGAGTTTTGTGATTACTATCTCTAGAAATTTACTTCTAAAATTAGGTTGACAAATAAATGCAGCAAATTTTATCAAAAATCAAGACGATATTCAAGTCGTCTTGCATACTGTCATGTTTCGTGGGACAACCTGTATCTTAAATATTTTTCGGCATTCTTTCGGATATTACGTATGTATATGTGATAATTAAATCAAGAATTTTACTAAATCGATTGTATGCGGCAAGTTAATTAAAGACCTAAGACAACCTTCAAGCGTCTTATCAATATCAAGAACTAAACATTTAACTACACGAGTTTCAGGGGAAATAAATTAAAACATTGCAACCTTCCTTTAGCAAGTATTGACGCGGCAAGCGATCTTTTTATTTCGCGGTTTTCGGTTTACGACATGGGATTATTAAGATAATTTGGTAACACTTTTTGTCGCTTATTTTAACAAGAGCATTAAGAGTAATTTTGACAGGTTTTGAATGTTGACAGTACATGATAAAATGATCGTTTAACAAAATAATACTTTCAAATCTGAATATACAGAGTTATCGGCTACAAAGCTAAGGATGAAACTTCAAAGGCTACTTAAAACTCATTAGATATAACAGGCTGAAGGTTGCATTTAGGTTGCTGTTTTAAATTTTTTTCTGTGGCAGTTTCCTTTTATACGAGTTTTTGACCCCTCCCCGCCTCCCCCCTCCCCTCAAATTTGTACATGGATCTTAAATGTAAGACGTGGACATAATTGACGATGTGGGCCCGGCTCCCTAGCCGCGGGGCTCGACCCCCCTAGCCTGTCCTAGCCTCAGCGCTCCACCCCTAGTCTGTTCTAGCCTCAGCTCTCGGCCCAGAAAGTGTCTTAACCTAACCTAACCCTAATTAAATACTAATTTTATTGTAAATTGTTGAAAAAGTAATCATGTACAAAATCGATAGGAGTGAGGATGGGGGGAGCAATAATCGTAAACTAGGACAGACCCTTTTCCGAATAGTTTTTTTTTAAAAATATTTGACAAAGAAAGAAACATACTTACAATTCCAGGGAACTATGGATTTAAGAAACAAGACTGAATGATTTCCATATATATAAAGTTGTCTCTGAAGTCTCATCTTTTGTGGATAATCCTGTAGTTCTAACTAACGATTCAATTCTTACAATTGTCCAGTTTTAACATCCTGCTAGTATCAAATATCTTCAATACATTCTTATTTCGAACACTGTCACTGAATTGGATTCAACCGTCCTTTTTTTACGGGCCCTTTTTTAACTATTCCGACCCTGACCATAGACGTTCTAATGTAGTTCAAGGAACCACTACTACAGCTGCGTTCCGGTTGGAAGAATAGACCATCTGTCGAATGTTGGCGGCTGTCAACGCTTAATGGTATCTGCTCCCAAATCAAACAGTTAAAGCATTGCATGAATGGATACAAGTAAATAACTAAGACAGGGAGGCCGTGATTGACAAAGAAAATCCATTTACAAAGTGGTCTTTGAAATTTAGTTCCTCTAAGTTTTTTTGGCTACCGTTGATTTCACAGAGAGACTTAATTTTTTAAATCGACCTTAGAATGGTTCAATCTTTTATGCACACTCATTTTTATTTTCTGAAGCCAATTTTTTCAGATATAAAATGGCAGAAGAAGGATCAGATTTACCTTATAGGGCGGAATACGCCAAGTCAGGACGCGCCAAATGCAAGGGCTGTAAGGCGGAAGTGCCTAAAGGGGATTGTAGGTTAGCTTCAATGACCCAGGTATGTCACTTTTAAATATTCTGGGGAAGAGAAAGGGGGGTTTTCAAACTCATCTATAAAAAATTAAATATTCATGATTTATGATGATTTTTTTAAGTGATTCTTGGTTAAATTTTATTACAAAATTGTAAAAATAATCAGATGAAAGCAGTTGCTGGTTTTTTAAGATCTCTATTTTTCTTAAAATTTACATTTTCTTGTTCTTGTTTTGCATCATTCACTATATGTCTGCCATTTCTAAAAATATTAATTCAACATTTGTTTAGTCTGCGTTCTTTGATGGTAAACAGGCAAACTGGTTTCATCTCACATGTTTCTTTGGTAGAAACAGGCCCCAGGTAAACAATTATTTCTAAAATCATCTTTGAAACCAGCCAAATTATAATCGTGTTCGAAATTCTTTCTTTCATCTACAGACTCATGATTTGGAACTGGTACAATCAAATGATTGTACCACATGCTCAACTAAGAGTTCAGTGTGTAATGCAACAATTTGCAGTACTCTGACCGAAGAAATAGTGGGTTTTAGTTGAGAGTGACAAGAACACGATTTTGAAGTTCAACTGTTATTTCCAAATTACAATATGACGTTCTGGATATTAATAATATAATATTTTAAAACAATTTCCCCCAAAATCAAAATATTATATCATCTGACATTCCATATTATTTTAGGCTGTTGGAGAATTCGCTCATTTTGAGCAGTTGAGATGGGAGGACCAGGAGAAAATTAGGAAGAGGATTGAGGACAAAACAGGAGCAGGTTAGAGTGGGGCGTTCATAACTAGGTTAGAACAGAAGAAAGGATATCAAGATATGGGAATATTCGGACAGAACAGTCCTATAGTTTAAGAAAGAAATGAATGATCATTTATCACTTATGATCATTGATCATGTATGATCATTGATCATGTATAATCATTGATCATGTATGATCATTGATCATGTATGATCATTGATCATGTATGATCATTGATCTTGTATGATCATTGATCATGCATGATCATGTATAATCATGTATGATGAAGGAGAAGATCCTAAATAAAAGTAGACTGCTTAGGAAGAGAAGAATTGAGGTCCAATAAATAATTATTTAATGATAAATTTAGTTGATATTCCCACTGGTGGGAAGGGTAAAGGGAAGAAAGGGAAGGGAAGAGGAGATATGGAGATGGTTGAGGGAACTATCATCAAGGACTTCAGGACAGAATATGCTAAATCTGGAGCTGCTAAGTGTCGAACCTGCGAGGAGAAAATACCCAAGGTTTGTTTTTAGATTTGCAAATATTATTTCCCCAAATCTTTATAATTTGACAATGCAACTTATAGTAAGGTTTAAATTAATAGATTAATAAAAAACGACCACAGAGCAAAGATTGAATTTATTATTTAATAATGACCTGATGTCGAAGATCAATATATCATGATCTCAGGGTGATGTTAGAATTGCAAAGAAAGATTTCGAGGATGAGAGAGCAAAGATGTATGGTCCGATGGACAGGTGATGAACAATCAAAACCCAAAATTTAAAAAATATGTTTAAACTTTTTAAATTTAAGTGTTCTGAAAGGGACTGTTAACTTAATTCTAAGTGACCCTCCATTTTAAGAAATAGTGGCATGTCCCGATTCAAAATGGTTTACTTTTAACTGTGGAGATAAAAATATCTTTGTTTTCCTGCCTGAAAATGGAGAATTTTTTTATAAAAGAGAAATATGGATTTATGCAGCAAAGAAAATTAGAGAATTTGATAGAATCTAACACTTTAATTCTTTAATAGATGAAATCTGCCCCAATGTTGCCTTTTACTGAAAGCTGTTAACAGCCTCTTTCTGTTTAACTTTCTTGTGAAAATAATATAGAATTAAAAAAAATCATCTAAATATTATCTTACTCATTTATCTTTAGTTTTGACCTAGTTCTGGAAAGACACACCACTGGTCCAAAAAAAATATTTCTACTTCTAGATGGCACCATGCTAAGTGTTTCTCTGAGAACCGAGAAACCTTGGAATACTTCGCGTCCGCCGACCAGCTCATAGGACTCAAGACTTTGAAGAAAGAAGATCAGGTAGGAGAGACATATTTCAAGTCCCGGATGTGCGACACATTTTTAAGGAAGCATAGGGCTAAAAAAGCTCAAATACCAAATTTAAGCAATTTAAAATAGTTTACCAAAATGAACCAATCCATTTTACTGGTTTTTTTTGGTATTACTAAAAATGGGATTTCACCAGTAAAGGTTCCAATCTTTTAATTTGATATTATTTCCAATAAATATTTTATTTGAAGTCCGTTTAGGTCCGTATACGAAATTGTAAAACTGGGGAACATGCTTTAACGGCCTTTTCCCAAGCGGTAACTTCCCAAGGGTAATTTCCCAAGTGGCAACTTCCTAAATGTGCAATTTCCCAAGCGGCAGTTTCCCAAGTCTTATTTAGTCGCAGCGCTCTGCCACTTTATGTGTTTATTTTCCGCAATGCTATGCCCCCGTCCGTCCTAGCTGCAGCACTCGCCCCTGTCCCTAACCTTGAGAAGTTGTGGCTTGGGAAATTGCACATTTGGGAAATAGTCACTTGGGAAGTTACCCTTCGGAAAATGCCTTTGGGAAAATACCTTAAACAATGAATAAAAACCATAATCTTTAATTAATCTCTAAATAATAATTTTTCAACAATTGTAGATAATGTTGAAAGAAATGCTTCCAAAGATGAAAAGAAAGCTGGAGAAAGGATCTGATGAACCTGATTCTAAGAAACCAAAGATGGAAGTGAAGGAGGTGAGTGGTGTACAGAAAACAGTTTCTATTTTTCAAATCTATATTTGGTTCGAAAATGCACAACATAATTTAAATAAGTCAATACATAACATTCAAAAAGCGTTTCATCACTTTAAACTCGAACAGTAAAATATCGAAGTATTCATTTAATTAACTTTTTCGCTAGAATTGTAGTCGCGAAAATGTATAAAAGTGTAATGCAATACTAAGTAAATAATTTGTTAAATTGGAGCTAAAAGCAGTATGAAGAACATATGTATCATTGTTTATCGGCTTTTCCTCTTTGAATGAGAACACAAACATATAACTAAAGAAAAAATAAATTTCAAATATTCCTAAATGGGAAAAAGAAACTAGAAAATAAAACAATTTTGGTTAAATTAATAAAAAAATTAAACTTTTTTCTTTCTCTTTTTCGCTTATTTTTATGGCGAAACTTAATGAACCATTCAGAGATTATGAAGTTTCAATTGCCCATTTGTTAACAGTTTAGATTTGTGTTCTGAGGGCAAAAGGTAAATTTTTAACACGTTTTGGATTGTATTTTTTCCTTTAAAGCCGGATCCGTGGATCCATATATTCCAGATTCAGGAAGCCAAAATGTTGCAGATCCAACAGATCCAGATTCTAAGCACTGGCCCTCTCAGAGTGAATTGAACTCTGGATCATCCGATGCTCCGTGATTAATAATGCTATTCAGTACTGGCTAAGTGAGAGATCTTCCCCTTCTGTTAAATCTGTATTACCTTGTTGACTCAGTGCTTAGGATCCAGGGTAAGATGGATCCGCTACATTTTGGCTTCCTTGATCAGGATCTGCAAAAATATCGGATCCCAAATCCGGGTCCAAGAAGCAAAATATCAACCAAAAACTGAAACAAAAATCTTTGGCTCTAATAACCTGAACATTTAAAAAAAGAGATTTAATAAAAAATTTCCTCAGCTCTAAATGGTTCCATTTATAAGTTTTAGCATAAAAAACCGCAAAAAATGTTTTGGACCTGAACATGGATCCTTTTTTTAATGCGGATCCGGATTAAAATGAAATGGATCCCTTCACTGCTTGTTGTAGGAGCCGGAGGATAAGGAGGAGATGAAGAAGCAGAACAAGAAGATGTTCTACTACAGAGATCTACTTCAGAAACATCTCAAGAAGAAAGAGTTAGAGGAACTCCTGGAGTATAACAAGCAGGAGATTCCAGTAGGACAGGTAAACTTCAGACAATTAACAATTTAGAAGAAATTTATTCCGCGGATTTACAAACTTTTTTAGGTATTTTACGCTTCAGAAATGTTGAGTTTGTCATATTTTAACCCGTCATTTCCGTAATTTTAGGTTTTATTCTTCGTGAATTTTCATTTAAAAATATCTTAAGCGGAGAAAAATTTAAGGTTTTATTCTTTAACTAAATCAGAAAATGAAACCTCCCTTATGATTAAATTTCCCCCCCCCCCCCTTACACATAAATAGTTTAAGACCATGAATTTACATACACCATGTTAAGATCATTAAAAAGGCACTTGAAATTATAGCCGCAAGTAAAATGTTTATGTTCAAACTTGTTTCTAATAATACATAATCACATTGTTGCCAATAATTACTGGGTGAAAAAAGAACAATGAAGTACATACATGATTTGTATTTAAGTAATCTGTATCGAACAAAGTACATGATGTGCTCAGGTTTTTTTATTTCAGGATCGTATGCTGGATAGGCTCTGTGACGTGATGACTTTTGGATGCCTAGCTCCCTGTAAAGAATGTTCAGGGGGACAGTTCGTATATCAGGTTCTAAACTTTAGAGGGTTCTACTGATAAGAAACTTTTTCTTCTTCTTAAACACTAGTGCACTAGTTCATTAGTGCCGTTTTTTTGTGTGTTTTCAACCGCTGTTCCCCTTTCTCCTTCTAATGGTTCTAACCTTTGTATTGTAGAGCGGGGTCGGATACAAGTGCCAGGGAGATCTGACCGAGTGGACAAAGTGTACAGTTGTCTCCCTGAACCCTGAGAGAACACCCTTCAAGGTTCCCACCGAGTTCAAGGAGAAGTTTGATTTTCTGTAAGTTTTTTTTGTCTCGTACATAATGGTATAAGTTTTAATATTTTGTTTCTTAAACATGATGGTTTTATTTATATTATCTTGTCTCTTTACTTGATAGTTTGGTTTATATTATCTTGAATTTTTACATGATAGTTTGGTTTATATTATCTTGTCTCTTTACATGATAGTTTGGTTTATATTATCTTGTCTCTTTACAAGATAGTTTGGTTTATATTATTTTGTCTATTTACAAGATAGATTGGTTTATATTATCTGTCTCTTTACATGATAGTTTGGTTTATATTATCTTGTCTCTTTACATGATAGTTTGGTTTATATTATCTTGTCTCTTTGCATGATAGTTTGGCTTATAATTTCTTGTCTCTTTTCATGATGGTTTGGTTTATATTATCTTGTCTCTTATTTAGATTATTATCAATGCATTCATGCAAAATTTTGTTTGAAATATTGCTTTCTTTTCAATGAATATTAAAATCTGGTCTTGTCATATGTATTCAATATTTATGTTTACAAGTAATATCCTCTGGATTTTAATCTATTTATTTCCACTGAACCAAAGAAATGAAATGGAAAAAAGGTTGCTGAATCATATTCCGGATTCTTTTGATTCATTTTAAATGTTGAAAGTGTTCACTGAGATTAAATTAGGGATTTTCAATAAACAGCTGAACCGGGGAAACTAAATTTCTTCACAGGACATGTCATGGGTCCTGGGGTGTTTTAAAGGGACTGTTGTTTTAATTTTAAGTCGTCTTCCATTTAACCTTAAAACCTTTATCAAATCATTAATGTTGAAGATAAAGTCGTTTTTCTTAAATGAAAAATGTTTAGTTATGATAAATTCCTTCATATTGTTTCAGAAGTAACATGTGAAAATCACATTTTAGAGAAACAATAGAAAATAATAAACTTTCAATGAATCATGAATTCTTGATCACACAAAGCTTTAAAGGATACCTTAGTTAATTGGACAATGTTTCGAAAAGGGGATGGTGGAGAAGGCACATTTGATGTAGGGGAGGGGGCTCTGCCTTCATTTTTGGTTCAAATCTTCCAATTTTTTGGCTGCAAGCCTAATTAGTGATCGAAATTCCTTAAATAAAATCAAATTTAATTTTAATGACCTCTAATGACATCCACAAATAGAAAATGTTTCAACTATGGCTTTAACGACCTCTAATGACCTAAAATGACCTAAAATGAACTCCAAAATAAAAATGTTTTATCTATGGCTTTATGCATATCAAACGAAAGATAAGAACCCAGGAAATACCGTAGAAGCCATAAATCCAGTGTTTGACCATCTAATGACCTAAAATGACCTCCAAAAATAAAAATGTTTTAAATATGGCTTTAAGCATATCAAAAAAAGCTAGTACCCAGGGAATACAGTAGCAGCAACGCATCCAGTGTATGACTTTCTAACAACCTTTAATGACCTCCAAATTGAAAATTCCAAATTGAAAATGTTTTAACCATAGTATGTATTTTAAACGAAAGCTAGGAACTAGAGAATACAGTGGCAGCAACAAATCTAGTGTTTGAACTTCTAATGACCTACAACGACCTATAATAACCTCCATGAAAATATTTAAATATGACTTTAGGCATGTCAATCAAACATTAGTAACCCCCAAAGAATCGAGTGGCAGCAACAAATCCAATGTTCGACTTTCTAATGACCTCTAACCATAGAGAATAGAATATATATTAGAGTGGAATTTACTCAAAAAAAGTGTAAAACAGCCATTTTGTTGTACTGTTTCCATACTGGAGGTGTACTTCACATATTTGTGCTATATAACCTTTTGGGCCCTGGAACATCATTTTATAGAAAATCTAAAATTTTTATTAAAAGAAAATCAAATTATGAAATAGGCTGGTTTCATAATTGACTAATGATCATTTCACATAGACTCTATGCCTTTCACTTTACAAACGATGATTTTCCGTTATAACTATAAATTAAATGATGTTTTTTATTCACCTAATTCATTTTATAAAGTTTATTCAACAGCTTTAAAAAATTCGAAATTGAAATGGATAGTCTAGGAAACATACTGTATTATTGTACTCTACTGCATATAATTTGTGAACATTTACATGATTTGTACACTTTGAACTCCCTTTCAGGCTGAAAGGGACTGACAAAATTCATACCGAGAGATTCTTTAAATTCCTCTCTAATAAATATTCTATTCTCTATGCCTCTAACGACCTGTAATGACCTCCAAATTGAAAATGTTTTAAATAAGGATTTATGTATATCAATCAAAAGCTAGGAACCCAGACAATACAGTAGTGGTGTCATCATTGATCTATTTGGATTGCTTTAATCAATAAAACATTTATTTGAAACATGTGTCACTAGTGTTTTAATTATTGTGACTCAATCTGATTTATTTATTTTAATTTTGCAAATTAAAGCATTTACTTTTTATGGGGCACTTCATCACATTTTATTGATACAAAATTTTTTTGTGTAACACATGTTACCCATTTTTGGAGGTCATTTAGGTCATTAGAGGTCATTAGAGGTCATTAGAAAGTCAAACACTAGATTTGTTGCTGCTACTGTATTCCCTGGGTTCCTAGCTTTCGTTTGATATACATAAAAGCCATAATTGAAATATTTTCTATTTGTGGAGGTCATTAGAGATCATTAGAGATCATTAGAAGGTCAAACACTGGATTTGTTGCCGCTACTGTATTCCTGTGGTTTCTAGATTTTAATTGATATGCATAAAGCCATAGTTAAAATATTTTAATTTTTGGAGGTCATTTAGGTCATTAGAGGTCGTAATAGGTCATAAGAAGGTCAAATACTGGATTTGTTGCTGCTACCGTATTTCCTGGGTTCCTAGCTTTCGTTTGATATGCATAAAGCCATAGTTAAAACATTTTCATTTTTGAAGGTCATTTAGGTCATTAGAGGTCGTAATAGGTCATTAGAAGGTCAAATACTGGATTTGTTGCTGCTACCGTATTTCCTGGGTTCCTAGCTTTCGTTTGATATGCATAAAGCCATAGTTGAAATATTTTCTATTTGTAGAGGTCATTAGAGGTCATTAAAATTCAATTTGATTTTATTTTAGGAATTTCGATCACTAATTAGGCGTGCAGCCAAAAAATTGGAAGATTTAAACCAAAAATGAAGGCAGGCCCCCCCCCCCCTACATCAAATGTGCCATCTCCACCATTCCCTTTACCAATAAAACAGGAAAATCTGGGAAATCAATATTATTGTATTATAACTACATATATAAGAAAAGATAAGCTCACATATAAAAAAACAAATTTAATTTTAATTGATTTTGAGAAAGAGGGTAAAACTGAAAGCTAACCTATCTTCTACTAGGTCCATGTATTAGGGAAAGACTGGATTAAGACTCATAGTTAACCTATCTTCTACTAGGTCCATGTATAAGGGTAAGACTGGAGTAAGACTAATAGCTAACCTACCCGGAGGAATACCAAAGAAAGAAACAAATGGATCGTCTGGACAAGGGTAAGTAATGAAGAATAAAACAGTACTTCAACATATTAAACCGATCTTAATTTTTTATCCTAAAGAATGTGCAATTGTACCAAATACTGATATTTTCCCTCTAGCCTCTAGCAGTCTGGGCTCTCCAAGATGAGGGGGTTTTCAGATCCTCCCTTATCTTTTCTAGCCTTAAAGTAAACAAAAAGTTGAAATGAGTTTGCCTAGGAATTCGACAGCTGCACTTCTTCCTCTTCGTAACATGGCCTTTGTCTTCAGTGGGAAGTTTAACAAAGAAAAGGTAAATAGGTTAAGTTAAGTAGTTCATAGTAGTAGATGTACAATAGATTCTAGTGTTACAAAATATCGGGTTATTAGTACTTAATTAGTAGTAGTTGTGTAATGAATATCGTGTAACACGATATTCGTAAACCTGAACTAGGTTGTACATTATTAATTAACTATGTTGTAAAAAACAACATGATAACATGTTGTGATTAGCTTAACTATCTATCCGCGCTAAGCTTGTAAATACATACATTAAAACTTAAGTTATGCTGTATATATATATATCGACGTAAAGCTTGTAATTATGTCGATTGACATTAATATGTTTCATAGATATCTAAATAATAAACTACGCTGAATATATATCGACGTAAAACTTGTAATTACGTCAATTAACATTAACTTGTAACATAGATATCTAAGTACAGATCAGTTGATATAAAGACTCCGCAATGATTACTGCGAGAGAGTAATTTGTCATTGATTAATTACTAGCTATTGTCCGTATTGACATTGACAGCTGGCGAGATCGTGCCCATTGGTTTGGCATTGATAGTTTGTGAGCTAGTGTCCGGTTGACATCGATAGCTTACGAGATCGTGCCCATTGGTTTGGCATTGATAGTTTACAAGCTAGTGTCTGGTTTACTTTGATAGCTGGCAAGATCGTGCCCTTTGGTTTGGCATTGATAGTTTACAAGCTAGTGTCTGAGCTGATGAGAGCCCATTGGTTTGGCATTGATAGTTTACAAGCTAGTATCTAGTTGACATCGATAGCTGACGAGATCGTGTCCATTGGTTTGGCATTGATAGTTTATGAGCTAGTGTCCAGCTGACATCGATAGCTTACGAGATCGTGCCCATTGGTTTGGCATTGATAGTTTACAAGCTAGTGTCTGTATTGACATCAATAGCTGACGAGATCGTGCCCATTGGTTTGGCATTGATAGTTTACAAGCTAGAGTCTGTGTTGACATCAATAGCTGACGAGATTGTGTCCGGGTTTAGACATTGACAACAAAGTGAAACTGAGTTGTACCTGGATAGATACGGGTTTGAGAAACCCTTATGGAGTAGGACATTTACTACAGTAGAACCTGTATAGTAGTACTAGCACACAGTTTAAGTATAGAGGTACATTATAGTAGTACATAGTACAGGTGATTGAAGGGGAGTATATCAGATCAGTTAAAAGTAGAACAGGTTGAAGGAGAGTTTAGTATATTGGATAGTAGTAGAACAGGTTGAAGGGGAGCTTAGTTGATTGGATAGGAGTAGATTTGGTTTAAGGGGAGCTTAGTAGATTGAGTAGGAGTAGAACAGGCTGAAGGGGACTATAGTAGATGATTGGATAGGAGTAGAACAGGTTGAAGGGGAGTTTATAAGATTGGATTGGAGAGTAGAATAGGTTGAAGGGGAGTAGAGGAGATCGGGTAGGAGTAGAACAGGTTGAAAGGGGGTATACTAGATTGGATAGGAGTAGAACAGGTTGAAGGGGAGTATACTAGATTGGAAAGGAATGGAACAGGTTAAAGGAGATTAGAGCAAATTGGATAGGAGTAGAACAGGTTAAAGGGGAGTAGAGTAGATTGGATAGGAGTAGAACAGGTTAAAGGGGGTATACTAGATTGGATAAGAGTAGAACAGGTTGAAGGAGAATATAGTAGATTGGATAAGAGTAGAACAGGTTGAAGGGGACTATAGTAGATGATTGTATAGGAGTAGAACAGGTTGAAGGGGAGTTTATAAGATTGGATTGGAGTAGAATAGGTTGAAGGGGAGTATAGGAGATCGGATAGGAGTAGAACAGGTTAAAATGGAGTATTGTAGATTGGATAGGAGTAGAACAGGTTGAAAGGGGGTATACTAGATTGGAAAGGAGTGGAACAGGTTGAAGGGGAGTATACTAGATTGGATAGGAATGGAACAGGTTAAAGGGGATTAGAGCAAATTGGATAGGAGTAGAAGAGGTTAAAGGGGAGTATAGTAGATTGGATAGGAGTAGAACAGGTTGAAGGGGGTATACTAGATTGGATAAGAGTAGGACAGGTTGAAGGAGAATATAGTAGATTGGATAAGAGTAGAACAGGTTGAAGGAGAATATAGTAGATTGGATAGGAGTAGAACAGGTTGAAGGGGAGTAGATTGGATAAGAGTAGAACAGGTTAAAAGGGGAGTAGAACATGTGGAAGGTAAAGATTGAAAATATTAATTGACATGACGAGACGTATTTGCTGAAAAAGCACAATCTTGTTTGCAAAGGAATTGAGTCTTTGTCACAAACTCTGATTTTCTTATCACTATATCTTTGGAACCAAATGTTGTAGACCTTAGATATTTCAAACTATGAATTCTGTTAAATCAAATAATCAGAGTTTGAAATATCAAAGGTTAACAACATCGGGTTCTAAAGATATTGGGGTTTAAATATTTGATTTTGTTACAAAGACTCAATTCCTTTGCATGAAGCGAATTCAATGTACTAAATCTTATGTTATTTATTTAGCTGCAGAAGAAGATTGAGGCTTTGGGCGGAAAAGTAGGGAATAGAGTAGACAAGGGTACAGTTGCTCTGGTAGCAGACAAAGGTAAGATTCTTTATTTTAATAGACAACAATGTTCAAAAGTATCCTTTTGTGTACTATAATTAATGTACTACAATGTTAAAGAATTCCATGTTTTAATTTCGAGGGTTTCATATATATATCTATATATATGATTCAAATGTATTTATCAAAATGAGTGTAAATTACTGAAAAAAAATTGTCAAAATTATGTTGTGGCCGAAAACTTGATTTTATATGAATTTGCTTTATGCAACAGTTCAACAATCCAAAATATTGTTTCAGTGCTGAGGATCTGGATCCAGATCCGTTGGATCTGCAACATTTTGGGTTTCTAGATCCTGATCCGCTAAAATATGCGGATGGACGGATCCAGATTCAAGGAGCAAAATATCAACCAGCCTGCTTATAACTAAATTTTACAAAATGAATGAATGGATCCAATTTAAACTCGAATTGGATTCTAAGCAATGATTCTTAAGTTTCTTCTATTTTTTACTTTCTTTGTTCTCTTTTTTATGTTTCTTTTTCAGAGACGCTTGCAGAAGCCCGGAGTAAGGTGAGGGATGCTAAGAAGGATTCTGTACTAGTGGTTGGTCAGGAGTTTATAACTGCTGTAAAGGCTGAAGGTGTTGCTACATCCTTGAAACAGGTAGACATTTCAGATTCTGCAGCTTTAAGACCGTTAAAAAACAGGGAAATGCGGAAAGACCAAAAAATTATTTTCTCAGCTTAAAGAAATTTTGACGTACCTTTTAAAAGGAGTGAAGGCATAATTTCACGTGACCCTCTCTATTCAAATAGGGTAATGTCCGATTTACTTACAACGGTCTCTTTAAACCTTTGTCTGTTCATAGAGTACAGAGATCTCTGTGTGTAAATGTATTGAAAACCTCTTGAATTCCTGTTAAACCTGGTGTTCGCTGCGTACAGTGTGAACTCATCGCACCTGATCCGTTACTTTTATCACTCGAAATCACCGAACTTTTCCGTTTAAAGCGGTTTTCAAAAATCCGAATGAAAATATTTTTTTTTTCTGCCAGGTCAAACATATAGGGTGGTTGAAAATGTTAGTTGGTTGAATTTGGGCCCGCGTGTTTTAGAAAATGACTTTTGCCTCATAATAGTTAAACATACTTTTCTTCCTTGTTTACTAAATGATATTTTTGCAAAATAAATATGTACAAGTTAAAATAGACTGTCATTTATGCAAACTCAATTCTAATTATAACATGTAGGACAAAATTATAATTTCTTATAACTAAAAGCCAGGCTTCTACAATATATCTCAAATACAGTCTAAGGACGGGTTATTTGGATGTTTAAGGTCAGGACACTGTGTAGCCTTTACAAACCCGCCCATCTGTTGATCCACCCTATAGAACTACATGCAAACAAAGTGTTCAACAATTAAAATCGTTTCTGTAAATAGTTAAAGGACAAGTCCGACAAGCTTTATCAGCCAAGTTTAAAGGGTACTGGTATCATCTTCCCATCGTATGTATGGGAGCTGGGGGGTGCCGGAGCTCATGGGAGTTAGCCCCGATGGCGGTCTGGACTCTCCAAGATGGGGGGGGGGGGGTGTTCAGATCCTCCTTTATCTTGTCGTGTCGGGAATAAGACACGTCACTCTACAAATTGAGGGTCACTTAAAATTGCGCCTACCCTCCCTTTTAATATTACAATTGTTCATAAAATAACTTCCTGCATAGAAGGAATTAGACACTAGGAAAAGACTGTGTTTTACCACACCTTGTACCTATAAGTTTGTTGTAAGGGCTTAAATGCTATTGAAAGAAAATTTGAATTTGTCAAAATTAATTGTGATTGCATTTTAAATTAGTTGCACAACTAAAATGCATCTTCAGAAAAGCAAATTTTCGTTTTCTCCGAATTTTAAAACGAATGCGCAATGTCCTGGGAGGGTATAATTGAGAAAATACATTTATCAGGGGGGAGGAGAGGGGGGGGGGGTAGGTCACCACATTTATATTTCTCTCAGAATGGGAAAAAATCCTCAGTTTATTGATTTTATTTTTGAAAGCTTATTTATTTCTAGCATGCGTTGTCTGACTGGGGCGTAGAAGAGGTGCAGGAGAAGGTGAACAAAGCTCACAACACCGGACTTCCGGTTAAACAATCATGTAAGATTACATCGACATTGTGGGGTTATAATTTACATTTCCTGAGAATTAATGATCTTTAGAGAACTCTTGCGTTCTTTTTTTCAAGGATTTATGCCTAAAAGTTAATCTAATTTTTCCTTCAATGATCTAGAGCTGGTAACTTTTGAATAAGTTGAAGTCAGAGCAGAAACCTTTTTTTCCATAGGACATTTCTCTTTGAAGTTCGGAGGGTTTAAGGTTTTCTAAAGCATTCATTGAAATTAATTATTTCCATTCAAAAGTTACAAGCTCTGGTTTTTGTGTGGAAAGATCAGATATAAATGCATTGTTTGGTTAAAAACCAGGAACGTATGAAAATTGATTAATATTTTTATATTAAAAAAGTCTGATTATATTATTTTAGCTACAATGTTCCAGTCTAAATCCATGCCTAAATCTGTAAAGTTGAAGTTGAAAGGAGGAGGATATGTCGACCCAGATTCAGGTTTAGAGGATAAGGTAAATCCCTCCCACACCTCCATTTAGAAAATTGATATTAAATGCTATTTAAAAAACTACGTGTCTTATCTTGCAACTTTTTAAGCTCTTCCCTGATTAAGAAATTTTCTAATTTTACCTATATTCTTTGAAAAATTATTTTCCTGGGGGGGGGGGGGGGGGGGGGTATTTTTAACATTATATCGTCACTGCTTAGACTTGTTCATTGTACACCTCTTAAATCACTTTATGGTCAACCATGATTTCATTTTTATTATCATGAAGTGTAATCTGGGTAGTGAGTAGTGTACATAAAGCTATCTGTTTCAGGCACATGTGTACAAGATTAAAGATGCTGTGTACAGTGTAGTTCTGGGCAGCGTAAATGTACAGGATGGGAAAAACAGTTACTATAAGCTGCAAGTACTGCAACATGACAAGAAGAAAAAGTAAGAAATCTTTTCAAACGAGGAATTTAAGTGTGAAAAAATGAAATCGGATGTTAAGACTTGCCACTAAAAGGTGTGGAAATTTTTACTGCTTGAGATAAACTTAAAATAAATATTTCATGTTTTCTCTTAATTCTCATGATTGATCTCCTCTATACGGAAATGGTATTTAGATGGTATGTTTTTCGAGCCTGGGGTCGAGTAGGAACCACCATTGGAGGAAACAAACTGCAGGTTAGTAGGACGTTAAGTTCCTCCAGGTGGTGCGAGAGCTGAGGCAGAATTACAGCGTGAACCACAATTGATAAGACTTCAGAGACGACTGTACGTAATTTATTAACTCTCTTGTCAACTTTTGCTTTTCTCTGTAGAATTTTCGAATAAAAAAATAAATGCGAAACCCAAATTCAACCTTAAAAACGAAGCAATCCAATAGCTTTAGGTCGTTATTAAAGTCTCATCCGTCGTGGGTAACCCCGTATGTAGTGTAGAGCTTAGGTCCATTTTCATGAAGATATGAACACTTTTTTACAAGAAAGATTTTCAAACAAAAAGTGTTCCTACTTTTATAAGACGAAATACTTTATTAGAGTTAAAGGTTTGGTATGTTTTTAACTACTATGTCCTAATGCGGTCTTCTTTATTTTATACATCCTCAATAATATAAATATTAAAAAAAATGTAAATCTAAGATAATGATGTAGTTGTGCATGCTATGATGAAGGATTTAAATCTTAATACGCCGGAGAGCCATGGCCGCCTACAGATTAATATAAATAGAACTATTGGTAAATAATTTACTTCTTATTCGATATTTGCTTTTTATCAAAAATTATATTTCCAAAAAGCTTCACTAAAAACATACTGTTCTGCTCATCTAAAAAAAATGTAAATTGATGTACAGCTAACTAGTAGTTTACAGGTAGGTATCGGTTAAAATGAATGAATAATAATGAAATTGTGAGAACACCGAAAAATATTGTGGCCCCTTTAAAGTTTATCTTTAGGATTTTGAAGATTTGCACGAGGCGGTTCGAGACTTCGAGTTTTTATATGAAGAGAAAACAGGAAACAGATGGAAGAACAGGAAAGAATTCAAAAAGGTAAATAAAAAACAGATGATAATAATGTTAATAATCACAGTCAACCTTTATTCTCTAACGGAATAGGCTTCAGACCATTTCATTTAAGTTCCAATGGACTAACTCAGTGAAGAGCTGAGTTTAAATTTATTAATCGGAGACCAGCCTATGGTTGTTAGCCACGGACCCAAGGGATTACAGGAAGATATTTTACGAATATGTCTTGAGGGCGGAACTTTTGTCGGAGTGTATCGCTAATCTTGAACGCGTGATCTTGATATCTAAGATCCCTGAATTAAAGATGACCACCACTTGATATCTAATATCCCTGAATTAAAGATGACCACCACTTTATATCTAATATCCCTGAATTAAAGGTGACCACCACTTGATATCTAGTATCCCTGAATTAAAGATGACCACCACTTGATTACAAAGAGAAATTACTCGAAACCTGCAATGCTTGATCCCAAGGTTCAAAACACAAAAAGTTTTGAATTCTGTTCAAATTTTTATTGTTTAGTTGCCTGGAAAATTCTACCCACTCGAGATAGATATGGGAGAAACTCTGGAAACTAAACTGGATCTGGAGAACAGTAAATCCTTGCTGCCTAAACCAATTAAAGAGCTCATCACCCTCATCTTTGATATAGGTAACAGAACACTTCTAATCGTTAATTCTTTAAATGCAGGTCGAATTGGGGTCAAACATATAATAAATGAAATAGAAATAAGAATCATTAACTACCTTCGCTGTATGAACCAAGCCTTTAACTAGCTTATTTTAATCTATCGCAATTTTAACATTTCAATTTAAATTCCGTTTTTAAAAATAGGCAACTGAAAATTATATACTTTATTTTTCAATCGCACATATTCTTAACAAATATTTTATTAATAATCTAAAAGAATTTGAATTGTGAGACATTTATAACAAAATAGAAATCTAAAAATACCATTAGAAATAATCTTGTGAGTCGATTATTGATTTTAGATTCAAGCGTTTTATGCATTGCGCTTTTAATACTAGCTAACCCGTGGATGATTTTACCGAGTTCCCCCAAAAAATTTGAGACAAATTGGTCAAGGGGTTGAAAAAAATTTGAGGCAAATTGGTCAAGGGGTTGATGAGTTATGATCGGACATACAAACAAACAGAGAGAAGAATACTATATATAATATATATAGTTAAATTGAATTGAATAAGGATTTGTCTCATTTATTTAGAAAGTATGAAGAGAGCAATGGTTGAATTTGAGATTGATCTGACAAAGATGCCCCTGGGGAAACTTAGTAAAGCTCACGTACAGAAGGAGAGAGTAACTTTCATAATACATTTATTAACTTTCTTCTATTTAAAAGTTACTATTTTCTCAAGCTTGTTGTGTTGACTGATCTTTAAATTTTATCTTTACATCTCGAGTGATGGGCATTGGGCAATAATTCGTTTTTAGAATTTAAAATAAGGTTTTTTACTTTAAAAGGCACAAAACGCATAATCTGAACTCGTTAAGTTCAGAATTTTAAAACTGTATTTCGTAAATATGTGTTTTATTAAACTAAGCTAAATTTTTATCCTAAGAGAAAAAATGGTAAATGTTCGTTTTTTTGCATTTACTTTCTCTAAGGGCCAAAACTTGGCATAGTGTATCATGGAAAACAAATGTTTAGAGGAAACAATTTAAAAGTTTGTCAAACCTATTGAAAGCAAACGTTGAGAGGAAACATTTTTAAAAGTTTGTCAAACCTATTGAAAGCAAACGTTGAGAGGAAACAATTCAAAAGTTTGTCAAACCTATTGAAAGCAAACGTTGAGAGGAAACATTTTTAAAAGTTTGTCAAACCTATTGAAAGCAAATGTTGAGAGGAAACAATTTTAAAAGTTTGTCAAACCTATTGAAAGCAAATGTTGAGAGGAAACATTTTTAAAAGTTTGTCAAACCTATTGAAAGCAAATGTTGAGAGGAAACATTTTTAAAAGTTTGTCAAACCTATTGAAAACAAATGTTAAGAGGAAACAATTTAAAAGTTTGTCAAACCTATTGAAAGCAAATGTTAAGAGGAAACAATTTAAAAGTTTGTCAAACCTATTGAAAACAAATGTTAAGAGGAAACAATTTAAAAGTTTGTCAAACCTATTGAAAACAAATGTTAAGAGGAAACAATTTAAAAGTTTGTCAACCCTATTGAAAGCAAATGTTTAGAGGAAACATTTTTAAAAGTTTGTCAAACCTATTGAAAGCAAATGTTGGAACAATTTTCAAAGTTTGTGGAATCTTTTGAAAGGTGATTTTTTCTTTTCTGTCTCAATTTAAGTTTAGGTCAAAATTAAATGGTTTCTGCGCATCTCGTCAGCCTAACTAATTTTAAGAATGTTACTCTGGGTTCAGGCCTATGGTATTCTGACAGAGGTTCAGGATATGATCAAGAATGAGTCTGGATCGGAGGCAAAATTTATTGATGCCACGAACAGGTACTAAAACTTTTAGGGGGGAGCTCTGATTTCGAGATAATGAATGACAGAATTTAAAATTTTAAGTTTTTGTTTTCGGGGATTTGGCCTTCTCATTCTTTTTTTTCTTAGATATTTGGTATTCCTTGGTTTACCCGTGTATTTCTTCTTTTATTCATGTATCAATCAGTGTGGTTATGTATGAATAATTGTTTTCTATCTAGATTCTTCACATTGATCCCACATGATTTTGGTATGAAGTCCCCGCCTCTTCTAGATAACGCAGATCTGGTAAACTTACATTTTTTAACTTTTATCAGTAGTATTTCAAAAGTTATTTTTTTAGCCATAAGACCATATTCTAAAGCTGGTCAAGTATACTCACTTCAGTTATTGAAATGGAAGTTAGGACGTTCCTTTTTCATTTCATTTCATTTTGGTGAGAAATCTGATGCCTGTACAAGAAAATCTACGGAGCAATTACTGTTAGTTAATGGTTTGATTTCTGTAGAAGTTATTGCATAATGCATTGTAAAAAACACAATCTTGTACAGAAGAATATTTGCAATGTGTTCAATTTCGTAGATTTTTAAAAAATTGAGGTTAAAAATAACGGATAAAATAAGTTACCCAGTACCCAGCCCTAGGCTAAGTTTTGACTGATGAGATCTATAGTTTCTCAATGAACAGAGAACACTCGAGAATTTTGCAATTTTTCACTTCATTTCACCTTTCCCAACGATTACATTTTTCAACGAAGGTTGCACCGGTTTTATTAATTCATAACTTGACATTGTTTTTGTAGAACTTAAAGAAACGGGGGGTGGGGGGCAGTTTAGAGACGTTTTTCTAATTTCTGTTTTTTGACCAATTATTTGGATTCTCTCAATAAGTAATTTTTTTAGTCTGATTCTAGTTTGGTGTTCGATTTTAAGTATAAGATATTGGAAAACTCTCATAAATCGGTATTTGGAAAACGTTCGGTTTAAGATTTAAACGTTACAAAAACTATCAACGAGACTGCAGGTATAATTTCAAGTGACCCTCCATGCAAAGATGTCAATGTTAGATTCACAACGCGGTACCCTTAAAGCTTTGTCTGATGAAATATGAAATTGACATCAATGTTTAAAATTATGGAAACGGATCAATTTCAGTTGTGGTTTCTCTCCAAGATTGTCTTGCGCAGTTCTACGCCATGAGAACATGTAGGATATCAGAATTTAACACTTAAAAGCCTAGAAAAACGACAATATCTTAAGCATTATTGATCAGATAAAGGTTTCAAGGGGTTCCGTTGTGAATCTTGTATTGCCATATTTCCATGGGTGGTCACTTAAATTACGCTTATAGTCCCTTGAATTCTAAAACACTATACACTTCTGTTTGCTAAGGTGAAGTCAAAGATCGATATGCTGGACAACCTGTTGGAGATAGAGGTGGCATACAACCTACTCAGTACTGAAGACTCAACAGATAAGGTTGGTTCACTAAAGGATCTTGAAGACACTAATGGGACAAATTCAAACTGCTAAATTCCGTGAACTAGCAATTTTCAATTTCCTTATTTCGAATTTAAATTTATTCTTTTCTCGAATAAATTGGTTCCGCCTAAACCTAAGTTCTATGTTAAGGCAACTATGAAAAATAATGAAATAGAATTAATATTGACTTTTTTCATCAGAAACTTTATCCAGGATCCTATTGATGTTCACTATGAGAGACTAAACACGGATGTATCTGTACTAGAGAAGGAAGCAGAAGAGTTTAAGGTACAGGATACGAAACTTAGATTCCTTTAAAGTAGGAACCTAAACCTAGCTCAGGATAGGTAGGATTCTTGTAAAGTAGGAACCTAAACCTATCTCAGGATAGGTAGGATTCCTGTATAGTAGGAACCTAAACCTAGCTCAGGATAGGTAGGATTCCTGTCTAGTAGGAACCTAAACCTAGCTCAGGATAGGTAGGATTATACCTAGTAGGAATCTAAATCTAGCTTAGGATAGGTAGGATTCATGTCTAGGAACCTAAACCTAGCTCAGGATAGGTAGGATTCCTGTAAAGTAGGAACCTAAACCTAGCTCAGGATAGGTAGGATTCATGTAAAGTAGGAACATAAACCTAGCTCAGGATAGGTAGGATTCATGTAAAGTAGGAACCTAAACCTAGCTTAGGATAAGTAGGATTCCTGTAAAGTTGGAACCTAAACCTAGCTCAGGAGAGGTAGGATTCCTGTAAAGTAGGAACCTAAACCTAGCTTAGGATAGGTAGGATTCCTGTAAAGTAGGAACCTAAACCTAGCTCAGGATAGGTAGGATTCATGTAAAGTAGGAACATAAACCTAGCTTAGGATAGGTAGGATTCCTGTAAAGTTGGAACCTAAGCCTAGCTCAGGATAGGTAGGATTCCTGTAAAGTAGGAACCTAAACCTAGCTTGGGATAGGTAGGATTCATGTAAAGTTGGAACCTAAGCCTAGCTCAGGATAGGTAGGATTCCTGTTAAGTAGGAACCTAAACCTAGCTCAGGATAGGTAGGATTCCTGTAAAGTAGGAACCTAAACCTAGCTCAGGATAGGTAGGATTCATGTAAAGTAGGAACATAAACCTAGCTTAGGATAGGTAGGATTCCTGTAAAGTTGGAACCTAAACCTAGCTCAGGATAGGTAGGATTCCTGTAAAGTAGGAACCTAAACCTAGCTCAGGATAGGTAGGATTCCTGTAAAGTAGGAACCTAAACCTAGCTCAGGATAGGTAGGATTCCTGTAAAGTTGGAACCTAAATCTAGCTTAGGATAGGTAGGATTCCTGTCTAGTAGGAACCTAAACCTAGCTCAGGATAGGTAGGATTATACCTAGTAGGAATCTAAATCTAGCTTAGGATAGGTAGGATTCATGTCTAGTAAACATAAACCTAGCTCAGGATAGGTAGGATTCATGTCTAGTAAACATAAACCTAGCTCAGGATAGGTAGAATTCATGTCTAGTAAACATAAACCTAGCTCAGGATAGGTAAAATTTAATATTCCTGTTGAGTAGAAACAAAAACCTAGCTCAGGATAGACAGGGTTTTTGTATAAAAGGAATTCAAATCTAGTTAAAAACTACTTTCCGAAAACTTTAGTAGATCATTTTTCCACCTAAAATCTTTAGCTCAGCAACTTCTATTTTTACTAAATTCTATGAGTATTAATAAATGAGGAAGGTTTTAGCTAACGTTTGTATTTTGAAAGCAAATTTCTGGCATTCTCTGAATTTGATTCTCTCAACTTTGTGCATTTTCTCTAATATTTGTCTTTGGTACTTCAACGCTATTTCATTAAATTCTATGCCTTGTTAGTGTCATGCAATAGTTTCAATAACAAGAGCAGTTTTGACAGAAGATCAAAAGAAAAGTGATCATAAAGTTTTTATCGGGTACTTCATACTCCAATAATATTTCATTTATGATAAATTTTGCAATATATTTATCATAGAATAACTTTGTTTTAGAATTTTTTATTCATAAGGATGGCAAATGAAACTGTTTAAATTCCTAGATTTAAAGATTAAATTTTAAAAGTTTTCTTCATTAATTCCGTTCAGACAGATTTCTTCAATCTCAATAAATCTCCTTAAATCCCCTGGACCAAATCGAAGAAAAAAGATCATTCTTTTAAAACATTTTACTCAATCCATATTGTTTAAGATAGAGGTAAAGGAACTGAGTTTAGCCATAAACTCAAATTTTTAACTCCTTAGATCTTTGTAACCCACTTCTAACTAGATCTTTGCAACCCACTTCAAACTAGATCTTTGCAACCCACTTCAAACTATGAATTCCGTCAGTTGGAATAGCAGCGGTTTTAATCACCGGGTAGCAAAGGTATAGAGATTAGATTTAAGTTTGCGGGAAATCCTCAGTTCCTGTATAAATGAAAGATAGGTAGTTAAACTAAGATCAACTGATTTTACTAGTTCTTGAGGCTATAGAGGTGATTCTATATTCGCTGAATTCAATTAATTCCTTGGCAACAATATTATTGAACTTAAAAGAAGAAGAAGAAAAATATTAGGAAAATATTTCTTTAGCCAAATTGTTATTTTTTTGTCTTTTTTTAGATATTACAAGAATATGTGACCAACACCCATGCGTCCACTCACACTCAATATTCACTGGAAATTGATCAGATATTTAAGGTATTATTATTTGTGTTTGGAACTATTATCGCTGACATGGTTCAAAATTAATTAGATCATTGGAAACCTTTGTATTGTCGGAATGAGCCATGTTCTCCTCGCGAGGAGAGATGCGTTCAACTTATTGTCATCTATGTAAAAGTTACAAGCTCAGCTCTGATTGATGTTAGGTGAAGAGGAAGAATGAGGAGAAACGGTTCAAACCGTTTAAAGCTCTGCCCAACCGAACCCTGCTCTGGCACGGATCCAGAACCACAAACTTTGCAGGAATCCTCTCTCAGGTAAATTCAAATATTACACTTTAATTTACAGGACCAATTTTATTTTCTGTGAAAAGTCATTTTTCTAATGTTTAATATAATTTTGATAATATTCAATCCCTGACATTTACATTGCGACCCTTTTTTCAGGGAGACAATGTAACATTGCACCCCTTGGGTTGAAATGTTACATTGCATCCCTGCTTTCAGGGTTGAAATGTAAACATTCCATATATCTTCTTTCACGTGACCGGTGCAATATCGTCTCCCTGTTAAAAAGAGATAAAAATAGTTATTTTCCCTTAAAAAATATGATTTTAGATCCTATTTTAAAATTTTCCCCTTGTTTTAAAATGTATGAAAAAGAAAGGTGATGGATCAGCAAAAAAAAGCCACTGAAAGTGTTTTTTAAGTCTTCAAGTTTGATATCTTTATTATGAAGTTTTCTTGGGTAAGAATAGGTTCAATATTTTTCTTCTCTGCTCAGGGTTTACGTATCGCTCCTCCTGAGGCCCCTGTTACTGGATACATGTTCGGGAAAGGTCTCTACTTTGCAGATATGGTATCCAAGTCCGCCAACTACTGTTGCACAAACAGAACCAACAATACAGGTTAGGATTAGAATAACTTTTTATTGTTCATTAATTCCGACGGAACAAATCAAATTAGTTCAAATTTTTTTTAATAAAATAAGGAAATGCGAAATAAATTTGATATTTATTTGAAATCTATTAAATGGTCAGATCTCAGGAGCTCTTTTCTTATTTTCTAACATATTTAGATATTTTCTTTTCTTGTAGATTAATTCACAAGCAGTTAAGTTAATCCTCATAATATATCATTATGTGTATACAAATATCCGTCTTGAATCGAAACGCCGACATCGGAAACTCTTAAAAATTGGAACTAGTTAAAGGAAATTCTGATTTTCAGACGGAATTTGATGAAGTCTCGAAAAGTATTAGATTAGTTTTAAATATATTTTTTTTAAAATAAATTTCTTGAATCTTTATGATCCATCATTTTAAATTCGTTATTTTTTTCATTTTCTTTTCTAAATGTTGCTTCTAATTTACTTTTATACATTTATTTGTTGGGGCAAAAAGACATTTTTGATAAAATAGTTAACCCCTAGTATATTTACCTATCACATATTATCTATCTCTTATGTTTGTTAGGCTTGTTAATGTTGTGTGATGTTGCCCTGGGAAATATGTACGAGAGAACCAAAGCAGATTTTATAGGTCAGTTTTATTCTGCAATGTACAATTTACAGAAGGTATGGCACCCCGAACTAACCAGAGTGAGAAGCATTTGGTTTCTTTTATTTGAAATTAAATGTGTTTTGGTCTATAATTCAACAATCTTTAAACTTACGGATTTGTTTATTATACTTTTTCTTCTTCGCTTTCTTCTTGTTCATCTTTCATAAGACATAAGACATAAAACAAATTTAGGCTGGCTCTTCGAAATTGGTTACAGAATAGGTATTGAATCTATTCTCTGTCCCTACTCCTTGTCACCGTTAACTAAAAAAGTGTAGCCCAGTGTTAAGTGGCTACAAAAGCAGTCCACCAGCCTTATTATGTCCTCATAATGCCTGGCTGGCATTTTTTAATCGAATTAATCAACAATTTTTTTCAAAGACTTTTAAGAAATGAATATGTGATTATTAAGGAGTGTTATAGAATTGGGATATGGATTTATATCTGAAATTCATACATCTTTACATCATATATTGGTTAATTTAAAAAAAGGACGTTCTTGTAAATTAACCACTTTTACGAGGATTACTATTTTTAAAAAGATCTTGTTTTTTTTCGGAACCCTGTCTGTATTCATTTTGAGTTACCTGTCTGGTTTTCTTTTCTTGGAAAGCTGACCAGGCAATTTGTGGTATTTAATGTCAGCTCTGTATTTATTGCTTGCACATGTTTGCTTGGATTTGCTTTACACATTTTTTTAGATCATTAAACTTCTTCCTAAAGATTTTTTGAACGGAGGGGGTGGGACATCACCCATCCTGTATTTGTCTTCATTCACTATTGGTAAAAAAAAAATAGCGTAAAGCTTAAAACAACTCTTCTAATTTTCTTGTCCTTAATTTTCTTCTTTTTTCTTGTTTATCTTGTTTTTGCACTTTTAGACCTTTCCAAATAGTCCTTTGAACATCCGAGTTGTGGAAAAGGTAGAGGAGAGAGATTAGGAGATTTGTAGGAAAAGGGGTTTAGGGGATTGCTCCCTGTGTTTCTTCATTTTTTACTGTTTCCCAGTTAGGGGAATTAAGGAAAACTCATGACTGCACCCCTTATGCAAAATAGGGAGTTGTGAGCCCTGAAAGCTCATTTGAGAGCAATCTTCCATAGCAGTCCAGTCCTCGCGTCTGGTCGAGTAAAAAACCAGTATCGTTGTGCATGGCTTGTATATCCACGAGGGGTTAAACTCCTTATTTCAGTGCACCAAGCTGAAGATAAAGTTGTTTTAATCTATGTACAATTTTTGCTTCCCCTGTAGGATACAAGATGCGTAACTAAACTAAGCGGTTCTCCAGCTGTAATTCTGGATCCACATAGGATTGTTAAAATAAATTCGAAATATAAGGAAGACGATTGTACCGACTCAAATGCCGATGCCTATTTTCAAGACGTGTTTATCCATTTCCTCCATGTAGTGGCCACATGTCAAATCCCCGCTCCTCCCAGCTCCTCACCCCAGCAGTCAGTCAGTGAGTCAAGTTTAGAGAGTTGAGCTGGTAACAGCTCCGACACAGGGAGCCTCTTGACTCCTTCATGATGATGACGCAGATACTCAGTAAGCAGCAGACGTGCTTACCCGAAGGGTTCCCAGTTTATCATGTAAACCAGAGACAACATGAAGCTCCACCTCATGATAAAACCGCGATCACTGCCTACTAGGTTGGATAAGCCCTGCTGTTTCAGTTCCTGTAGATCTACTCCACCAACATGAAGCTCTACATCACTCCCATGAAGTCCCCCCAAATAGTCGTCATTTATTCCTTTTGTTAATTTCTAAACCAACCAATTTTAATGCCACTTGGGAAACTATTTCAAAACTTTCGTTTTTATTAAATAAAAGTTAGAAATATCCATGTAGATCTCCTTTTATTTCATCATATTGACTTTTAAGGTCAACAAGGATAGGTCCGCCCTGTTCGGAAGCAGTCAGGCAACTGAGAAATGATAATTAATAATTGAACTTTCCTTAACCTGTTATACAATTATATTCCTTTCTAGTTAAATTATTATAAAGAAAACTTGTTACTGAGGGTCAAATACAGGGAGTAAGGAATAGAAGGGAGATAGATATAACGGACGCGGTTACGTGCTTTGCAGACGGGTACTCCATTTGTATAAAAAATATTCAAAATAGGTTATTCTATACGAGGTAATTGTACATCAGACAAATATTTCTTATACAAATGGAGTACCCGTCTGCAAAGCATGTATAATCATATGGTAGGGCGAACCGCGTCAGTTATATCTCCATTCTATTCCTTACTCCCTGGTCAAATACCAGGCACAATATATTATTAGTTTTTTCAGATCTCAAGTTACGTGTGCAAAAGGACACACAAATTTTTAGTTTCATCGCCTTCACTTACACGAGTTATTGTTTGCAAACTTTATGATAAATAACTTCACGATTTAAAGGGATTTTTTTTTTGATAATTACAAAATACAAAATATCTAAAAATGTATTGCAATATTTATGTCCGGCTATCCCGCTTAGGATCAATTCTCTAAAACCTTTTTTATAGAAAATTAATTTGAAATGAAGAAGATCATTTTGTCTAAAATTTTCAAAATAATGACTCGTTTATGTAATTATTTTATACGGTCTAGATTGGAATACTTAAGGTTCACCAGAAAGATTAACATACACATACTTCTGATAATAAGCTTATTGTCAAATGATTTACAATATTAATTTTTTTCTCCGAAAATTATATTTTACTTTATGTTTATTTGCTTGATAATAAGAAGTAAATAGATTTCTCTTCTCTGTTCATATTAATTTTAACCCTATTACGATTGATGGGGTGGGGGGGGGCTTTAAAGTTGTGAAAAAATTTTGCTAAAAAAAATTTTATGTATAGGGTAGGGTGGGGGACGGTCAAACGGCGGGTCGGTAATTTAAACAATCAGTAATGGTTTATAACTTTTTTATTAATTAAGCTACAGGGCTAAATTATATATTTGAAAAATAAGTAAAACATGTGTGACATGTTAATATTTGTTAAAAGTAAATTATTTATTTTTGAACAGTTTTCCTACGTACCTATTCAACTTTTTTAAAATCCTTCTATGCATCCTAAATACTAAAGTTAGAGATATAATTTTTTTTTATAAGCCAGACCTTAAAAAGTTGGACTAGGGACATGTATCACACTCCCAATATCGACTTTAAGGGCAAAATCATGAGGGAGGGGGGGGGGGGGTTAAACCCCGCCCAATCCATATTAGACAAAAATAGCCCAATCAGGATAGGGTTAAGAAGAATAAAAAACTATTGATAGAGCACAGAATTTGCAGTACAATTTAAATTAAGATATGAAGCAAGTTAGAATTTCAAACTTTTTATTTAAAGTTTAAATCCTTAAAACTGCTGAAGAATAAAATAAATAGTTTTTCTATTTGAACCTGACTTTACTTTCAAAATTTAATATTTACTAGCTGAAGTTCTCGGCGTCGTCAATGGAATTTTTAAAACAATCTAATGTAAAAAAAAACGAATATTTAGCCTTGGTTGAAGAAATGCTCATGATCTGGATCCAGGTCCATTCTTAGCACCACTGTTCAAACAAATAAAATTTGTAATCAAAACATTATTTCCCAACCTCTCATAGTTGTATTTGTATTGTGTTATCCTCGCCTAAATTGAATTTATCTTTTTATTTTCTTCCTCGTGGCAAAGAATAATAAACCATTGGTTGGGATAGTACCTAGACAATTCGACTCAACTCAATATTTGCTTCAAATTGTTTTAAATACTAATATTTAAGTTTAACTCGAAGGATATACGGGGAATGCATCAAGAGACTTTCTAGAAGAAATTATGTGGCCGTACATTTTTCTTAATGTATTAAACAAAATAATACAAAGATATAGAAAGGGTTGGCTGTGTCGAGATCAAGCATGAAACTCCAAATAATCAATTTAATTCCTCTTGAAATCTCGTGGTGGTCATACCCTGATGGGATATCTAAAATGAAGGGATCAAACCTTGATCATCGAAACTGAAAAGAATACATAGTATATCGATCTCAAGTATTAAGCATTAACGATACTCCGCACAAAAGTTTCTTAGTTCTCGATTTTATTTTTTATTTTTGTTACTTTTTTGCTAAAGGAATCGAGTCTTTGCCACAAACTAAAATTGTTCCTTATATCTTCGCAACCTGTGAGTAAACTTTTGATTTATAAAACTTAGATTATTCAATCTAACAGAATTCATAGTTTGAAATATCCAAGGTCCACAACATTGGTTTGTGATGAAAATGGGATTAGAAAAAAAGAGTTTGTGGCTAAGACTCATTTCCTTAATAAGAGATTTTTGCTACTTTTATTGTCATGAGAGATTCCCAAAAGTCGAATATTGAATAATATAAACCTAGAATTATTGCAAGTATTAAATTAATAATACAAGGATTAGAAATAATGGAAACTGCAGAGCTTATTGCGAAGAGTATTTGTTTAAAAGAGAAAAAATCGAATAATATTCGCGGGTTTTTACTGTTCTTTCTTCTGGTGAGAGGGGGATAGTTTTTAGTAGTTTGCGCAGGGGTGTATAATTTCCCCAATAAAGCGAGGGGAGGGGGAATTATTTTTTAATAAAATATACATTCCTGAATTAGCACCTTCTTTTAACTTTCCAGTAATAAGGACCCATTCAATATTATCAATATCAATATCTAAAACTTATTTTACCCAAAACAAATACTTTTATCGTTCAATGGCTTGGAAGGTAATATTAATGATATCTCATTGGTTGACACTAAAAATTTTTGATCCGGATCCTTAGGACTGTTATTCACTTATAAATGGAAAATTGATCTTTAATGATAAGAAAATTTATTGATTGAAATATTCATTGCATCATCATAAGTGAAACATATCTACAGGTATTGTAGAAGATAAAAATTTCTAAAACTTAAATTATTTAGAGAAGTTACCTGCCGGATTTCATTCTACCAAGGGTATTGGTAAAACTGAACCTAACCCTGAAGTATTTAAGGAGATGGAGGGAGCTAAGGTAAGAAAGAAAACATTTTTCATTAGTTTTGTATTTATTATTTATTTATGCCTGCATCTAGAAACCCCTTGAATTTATAAACTCCTGCCTTATTCAACGTTGATACAAAGAAAGGACATGTATTAGCTTTGTTAAATAAAATGATATAATGTATAACTTAAGTTTTTGCAGCTATAAAATAATTGCTGGGAATAAAGTTAAAAACGGCTGAACCGATTGGTCACACATTTGTTGAGACAGGGAAGGTTTATGGACGGTCAAACGGAAAAATTTAGCCTAAAAAATAATGTTGATTGCTTCGATTTTAGAAAGCCTACAAATAAAATTTTTTTAAATTTTTGTTTATTCGAGTACGTCGATTTAAAAATGGTGGCAAGTCCCGCCTGATCCAACGTTAAACCCGTGTCTTATGTTGGCTTCTGATTTGTTCTGACTGACCAATTAGAGACTGCTTTCAACGCCCAGATTGCTTATGCAGACGGATCAGCTGATAAGATTTCGAAAACTCAAACTTCACTTAAATCAAATATATCATTTTCGTAGCGTGTTTAGCTTATAAATCTTAGTCATTTTTAACACTTGACTAAAGATAGTTCCCGAGAAATTTTAATCAAAAAATATATTAGTTTTTACGAAATTTACAAACTCCCGCTTTAATTAAGGCCTAGCTAAAAGATAAAACCAACTAGATCATGATTTTGTCTAGCCAAATCTCCAATCGAGGATAAATATAGTACAGTCACTGGTATGTACTCCCGGAAACTACAGAGAGCAAACCATATACTTTACCTTGTACACTAAGAAATCTCTAGGTACCCCTGGGAACTGGAGTAAAGGATACTACTAAAAAGACGGATCTACTATATAACGAGTTTATTGTATACGATGTTGCTCAGGTAAATTTTTTATAATCCTTGGGGGAGGAATGGTTTTTGATGATGGGGGGGGGGATCATTTTATTTCATAGTTTTTATCCTGATAGTCACATACATACCTTCTGGGGGGCAAATTGATATTTTGACTAAATATACACCTCTGCTTCCCATCAAATAGATTCTAGTACAATAGATGGCAACGTAGAATTTGTACACTCTCAGTACAGCTGTATTCTTACGTCACAAGTGTCAACTTATTTTTTTGTCCGACAAAATTATTTTTAACAGTGATAATTTTAGAATGAAGTGCTTATATTTCAGTGAAACCAGTGCAATTTATGTGTCCTTTATTTTCTGTTTTTACACTTTTTATTTTCGTTTAACTTGTTATATTTGACACTTGTGACGTCGGGTATAATAGTTCATTTCTCCGTTGCCATCTATTGTACTTGAAAAACTATTTGCTTCCCATACCTCACTTCCTGGAGAGCGCCAGGGATTAAAATCAATATTTGATATTTTAGGTTCAGTGCAAGTATTTGATGAGGATGAAATTCAATTACAAGGTTTAGGGAAGAAAATCTTCAAAGCTCTCACTGAATATTCATTTTGGTTTGTTCGTTTTTCAACCAAACCTTGCTCTGGGGTAGATATAGACTGTAGAGCTTTGTTAATAAGTATCAGGCAAACATAACTTCTTGGTGCAAATGTTAACCCATCTTACTTTTTATATTCCTGTTCTACTGCAAGCATTGAAATATTGGAAGCTGGTATGGCTGTGGCTAGCTAAAGCTGGATTTAAGTGTTCTCGGTAGCTAGTTTAGTTTGCTGATTAGTTAGTGGAGCTTACTTAAACCTCAACTACTAATTGGAACCAGTAACAAGTAATCCTATATTAAACCTTTACAAAAATAAAATATATTTTCTATTTTTTCTAACGGTAAAACTTACCAATTCTACTCAAATAGTTTTTTTTAAGTTTGAAGAATGCGCCAGTATTTAATATTTATCATTTAAAAATCATCTTATTTTTTTATATTTTTTATTTTGTTTTGACTGTTAGTTTGAATATATTCCAGTGATTGATGTGAAATAAACTATTTTTTTCAGATAATTATGTTTGTGCATTTTACTGCGTATACTGTGTTCTTTTCATGTACATGCAGGTATTCTTGCATGTAGAGTTTATGTTTCTATGGTCCGAGTGGTCTTGTTATGGAGTAAATTTAATTTAATTTTTTTTTGTTAAACCTATATATTGTATTAGGACAGGTACTTGGATTTCTTTACATTCAGAAGCTAAAGATTTCATATTTTTTCGGTTATTAGCAAGAAAGCTTTATCATACACATTTACAGAAACCGCAAGGCAATATGAAACTTTTGTGTTAATATTTAGAGACCTATTTTAATTGATCATTTTCACCATTTTCTTAATTAGACTCAACTGTTGATAAGTACCAGAGGTTGGACGATGTTTTCTCAAGTTATTATTGATGAAGTAGGCGAGGTTATTGTATACGATGTTGCTCAGGCAAATTTTTAAATTCCCCAGGGAGGAATGATTTTTGATGATGGGGGGGGGGGTTCATTTTTTTTAAAGTTCTTACCCTTGAAAGTCGCTTATTTCCCCCAATTCAGCAAAGAAAACATTTTAATAAATTGCGCTTTGTGCAAACATACATAATATCTGGCGGGAAAATGATTATCTAAACTGTAAAGGGGTAAAAGTAGGCGAAGCAAGTTTGATATAATTTCTTTTCTATTTCTCTACGGACAAATTCAGGGTTGGTGACATAATACATGAACACAAACCACCTCTTCCTATTTTACTTTCTTAACTTGATGAACAATTCTGCGTACATCAGTTCTCTGTGTATATTTATTTATTTAAAGGTTGGAAAAAGTGTTCATCTTAAAAAAGAGTATTACAAGTTGGAAATTTTCTTAGTCACAATTCCGACTTTCCCGTTTATTTAGCGGACAATTTCAAGACCGGAAATAGACTCAAGGTGTTAATCCTTAAACCAGGAATAATTAAGAACAATTAATCATTAAATCGGCAAATATTCCTTGATAAATTCTGATTTTAATCGTGCCCGCCCGAGCTAGTTATAATTTGATTAGACCCTTGCCAGTTAAAGTAATCTTATAAATTTTTTTAATTCTTCCCCCCCCCCCTTGGGCCGGGGGGGGGGGAATCAAAAACCCAAGAGGAAGGAAGGGAAGGAAAAGAAAAAGGCGAATAAAATGGGAAAAGGGAAAAAAAATTGAGGGGGAAAATGAAAGGGTAAGAAGAAAGTAAAGTGGAAGGGGGAAAGGTAGGAATGGGGAATGGGGAAGATTGAGAGGGAGAGAGCAATATAGGGAACTACGGAAGGGAAGTAGAAGGGGAAGGTTAGAGGAATGTAGGGTAGATAGGGAAGGGGAACAAAGGAATAACCTGGCGCTACCACTATCCTTAAGAGTAGATATTATAGAAGTAATGAAACACTACATAACTATTTAAATTTAAGATTTACTTTTAAGAAATCATTTTAATTAATCATTTGCAAATACGTAGGCTTGGAGACCATTTTGCGGGGCTCATAACGGCCCTGCTCCCCCCTCCCTAGTTGTAAAATATACATACAGACTGTAGACGACCGAAATGGAACGGTACACCAAATGGATAATCTCCTTGTGAGAATATCGTGCATTTGTATAGCTAACGGAAACAAGGCGATGTGAAATGGCTTACTAAAAGGCAACAAAAAACTGAAGAAAGAGAAGCTCTTGATCTTTAAAACGTTCTCAAGTTTAATATTAGTTCTTATTTCCATCAATATCAATAACAAGATTATTGGAGCAAAAAAAATCTAATAAATATGGAAATTGAAATACGACTTGAAAGTCGTCTTTATTTTCTGACATTTTATGCATGGCCAAGAAAGTATAAAAACGAGGCTCTATGTGTTTGCGAAGTGTTTTGTTTTTAAAAAAAATTGACAAAGACATTAGACAATTTTGATTTATTAAATAAATTGAACTTTGTACAAATTTTAAAATTTCTCCGTCAATTTTAAAGATACAAAAACTGTAGACCACATTTTGAAAATTTCAAGACTTGGCGTTTTCGAAATCAGATTTTTAAACTGGAATACTGCAATAAGTGTGTTCATGAAAAAATGCCACATGGATTGAAGACAATATAAAAATAGTCACTTGATTCACATGTCCATTGTTTATCGGTTCTTAGTTTAATTGAATTCTACTTACGTTACTCACCTTGACACCTTGTTTTAAGTATTAGCTTTTCTTTAGTCCGAGAATTTGATCTTAATTTGCTCTTTATCAGACTGCATAGTAAATTGTGATTGCTTATTTGTAATATCTCATGCCTTGTAGTTGAATAAAAATATGAAATATGAAATAGTCGGATGTAGTTTCCGGAACTTGATATCAGGTTTAGGGGTCTAGGGCCTAGGGGTTTACCACAAAAAAATGATTGGTATAAAGTTCAGTATTTAAAAAGATATTTGATGGATTTCAAGCTATCCTTTAACACAGATCTTGATCCTTGCTGTAAAAAATATTACTTTTTTATAGCATTAAGTGGTCGGCTCCTTGATTTCCTTATATCTTACAACTTAAAAAAGCAGAAGTATTCTCCTAAGAGGGGGGGGGGGCCTCTGAGGAGAATATGACAAAACTTTCGCATTCTGTTGCTGTTCAGGCGATCTTCCACACTCGGGAGAATTCTGGCAATAGTTGAAAAATATATTTTTAGTTTGCTTCAAAATGTGAATTTGTTACTTAAAAGGGAGGGGGGGGGGGGGCGGAAGCCATATTTATTATGCAATCTGATGAAACTAGAGCAAAACAGATTTAACAGACTAGCTAAAAGTTGTTTTGGTAAACATGGGACATTCCAATTGTGACAATTTGTAACTCCGTAATCTTCGTTACAGCGGAAGAGAGAAAATTGAAAACTTGCAATTTTTAAATTGTTGTCTAACATTTACAAGAGATTTAAAAATTTCATCATTTCCAAATAAATTGGCAGATTTCTTAATTAAATGTTAATATTAAAGAATTTAAAATGGTAAAACACAGTTTATAAATCAGTTAAATTGTTAATATTTAATTATATAAATATTTCAATAGGTTTTCATATATTTCCACGTTTCAAAGATATCTAGTATAATTATAAAAGTTATTCATAAAATTTTAGAACCGACTTAGAAGGGTTACAACGACTTGGGGTTTAGTTTTAATTCACAAACTCGCTTTTTTATCATTTGACTTAAAAATTTTAAATCTGCAATTTGCGTTTTTATCTGCTATTTTAAAAAAGTTAATGTAAAAATCCTGTTAGATTTTTGCTTATTTTGGTTTGCAGTGTTGTAAAGTTATCATTTTATCGCCATCTTTAATTGGATGCATTTGAAGAAATGGGAGAACAAACATTAAACATAAATTTATTATCTATATATAAATTTGGCTTGTCTGTCCGTTTGTATCCAATAAACGTCAAAACGGCTGAATCGATCGGGCCCATATTTTGTGTTGGACCTCACGTGACCCCAGGGAAGGTTTATGAATGATCAAAATTAAAAAAATTATTTTTGTAAAAAATTTTAAATCTTGAAAATCCGCGAATTTTTTTATCATAAAATCCATGAAATTCTTTTCTTCTTTGTTTTTCAATGTTTACAATGAGACCACGTTCACAATTGAAATAAAAGCCTAGTACCTAATATTTGACATATATCACATTTATTAAAATTTACAGTAAGAAAAATACTGATCTAGAAAATTATTGCATAATTAGAGAAGAATAAGTAATGAAGTGATATCAGGTTTTTGTATCGAACATCGCCATTTCTAGTTCGGAAACCCTGAAATAAATGTATGCATAAATATTTATTATTACATAACAGATTTATATAGCTATCTTTTTTTAATTTATTGTAAATAAGAAACATGATCAAAAAGTTATTTCAAGAATAAATTAAAACGTTCCATCTTAAGCTGAAGAAAAAAAATTCGAAAAAATGCTATAAAAAGAGATGACTTAGGTAATAGAAAGCCAAGGAGTCAGCAGAATTTTTTATGTCATATTTTAGACTAAGAATTGATCACGAAAATATTGTTGGTTAGATTTTAAATGAAATTGGAGAAAATCACCTTATCTAAAGGGACTGTAAGCATAATTTTAAGTGACCCTCCATTTGAAGATAGCAATGTCCGATTTACAACGGTACCATTGAAAGCTTAATCTGCAAGACAACGTCGTTTTTCTGACTTAAAAAGTGTTTATTTCTTTAAATTTGACCATTGTTTCTTCTAAGCTAGAAATGCGCAAGTAACTTTTGAAGAGAAACCACAAACGAAAATAAGCAGTTTAAGTAAACAAAAACATGCATATCTAATTCATACATGATCAGGCACAGCTTTTAAGGGTACCGTTGTAAATCATGCATTACCATCTGTGTATGGGAGGATCACTTGAAATTATGCTTACAGTCCCTATTGTATTTTTGTATGTTATATTATATAAATATGATGCAGTAGACATTGATTATAGGATTTCGATAAAATCTAAATCATAAATAGATAGATACATAAATATAAGAAATTGTTAATTTACTTTTTAGAATATAAGTAAATTTGTCTAACAAGGAGTAAAAAAATCGGGATTAATGCTTGATCCACTCTTTTTCTTAATCTCCAGATTGAAAATTGCTTGTTGTCCTCATGAATTTAATCTCCAGATTAATTAACAGATCGGGATTAAGGATATCACATTCAGCTAAGAGCTGGGAACTTCAGAATGGATAACCTTTAATCCCAAGTACTTAATCCGAATATCCACTGTGGAAACTTTTCATTTTAGTCCCTAATCCACTTTTTTCTATCTCTTTGGATATCCGTACATTATTTTCTCCAATGAGAGTGCAGGAATATAGTTCGGAAATTGTATTGACCAAGGACAGCCTTGAAAATAAATTCTATCCCAAGAGAGAAATCCGCAATTTCTTACAAATAAAGAATTTGTTGTCGGCCATTTTGTAAATCAGTCGGCGAAGAAAAATATTTAATAATACGTCTAGGATTCTTTTGTAACCAATTTTAACTAATGTATTAATAATTAAATGGGTGAGAAATTAAGTGAAGGCCCTTCCAGTCAAGAAAACGAACCAAACGAATCCAATTTGTTGATCTAAATATTCAATCTCAAGACTAACATAATCTCGAGCTTATGTTTGTCTCGAGATTAGCAAAATCAGAGGATTAAGCATTAATCCTGATATCCGCAATTCTAAAGTTTCCAGCTCAGAGCTGAAAACTTTAGATATCCTTAATCCCGATCGGTCAATTAATCTGGAGATAAATAACAAGAGGAGAACAAGCATTATTTAATCCGGAGATTAAGAAAAAGAAGAGATCAAGCATTAATCTCGATATCCACCATTCTAAAGTTTTCAGCTCTGAGTATATAAGGTTGTATGGAGGGATCTGGAGGGTACCTGGGTGTATAAGGTTGTCTAGAGGGTTCTGAAGGGTACCTGAGTATATAAGGTTGCATAGAGGGTTCTGAAAGGTACCTGAGTATATAAGGTTGTATAGAGGGTTCTGAAGGGTACCTGAGTATATAAGGTTGTCTAGAGGGTTCTGAAAGGTACCTGAGTATATAAGGTTGTCTAGAGGGTTCTGAAAGGTACCTGAGTATATAAGGTTGTCTAGAGGGTTCTGAAGGGTACCTGAGTATATATGGTTTTATAGAGGGTTCTGAAGGGTACCTGAGTATATAAGGTTGTCTAGAGGGTTCTGAAGGGTACCTGAGTGTATAAGGTTGTATAGAGGGTTCTGAAGGGTACCTGAGTGTATAAGGTTGTCTAGATGGTTCTGAAGGGTACCTGAGAATATAAGGTTGTATAGAGGGTTCTGAAAGGTACCTGAGTATATATGGTTGTATAGAGGGTTCTGAAGGGTACCTGAGTATATAAGGTTGTATAGAGGGTTCTGAAAGGTACCTGAGTATATAAGGTTGTATAGAGGGTTCTGAAGGGTACCTGAGTATGTATGGTTTTATAGGGGGTTCTGAAGGGTACCTGAGTATATAAGGTTGTATAGAGGGTTCTGAAGGGTACCTGAGTATATAAGGTTGTCTAGAGGGTTCTGAAGGGTACCTGAGTATATAAGGTTGTCTAGAGGGTTCTGAATGGTACCTGAGTATATATGGTTTTATAGGGGGTTCTGAAGGGTACCTGAGTATATATGGTTGTATAGAGGGTTCTGAAGGGTACCTGAGTATATAAGGTTGTATAGAGGGTTCTGGAGGGTACCTGGGTACTAAGGTTGTCTAGGGGGTTCTGGAGGGTACCTGGGTACATAAGGTTGTCTAGAGGGTTCTGGAGGGTACCTGGGTA